ATATCCTGCTCTTTGAGGACCATCACGGGCACATTGCCTATGGCAAGCCATATATTTCGGGATTCGAAGATTCTCGCCCGGCAGCACAGCCTAATCTAACGGAAGAAGCTCATTCGCGTTTGGTGAACGATGACTGGTATAGACACCCACTCATCCAAACCCAGATGCCGCGGCATCGGGAATTTCCATACTGTATGCAATATGACCTCTATTCCCTTGGAATATTGCTTGTAGAAATTGGCTTGTGGAAGTCGATCCCCAATGTGCAACGAATGGTCGGCCCGAGCGACATCAAATCGCATATTCTCGGGAATCGGGGCGGGTTAATACAAGCCATTCAATTTGCGATGGGTAAAATATATGCCGACATTGTCATCAATTGTCTGGATCCGGGTGAAGCGATGGACGATCAGATCCAGATGGATAGCTATATCTATCATTTTGAGACGCTGGTGGTGAAACCTATGAACCGAATGTCTGTAGATTGAGGGGACTTTTATGTAACAGCGATATTTCATCTACATCACATATCCAGTGCTATTGTCAGGGGTATCATGACAAGGACACAGCCAGAAAGTAAAATAAATACATTAATATGTACAAATATGAACTGTGGAGTGCTTTAGAGCAGTCGCAAGGAGGGGAAGCTGGCATAATTTGCGGGGGTGACAGGCTCATGTGGCTTAGCACGTATAAATTGTGTTAGTCAAGTTACTGTGGGTATTGACTTAAGCAGCTCTTTCCAACTCTTCCAGCCTTGTGGGTTTCCAGCATTCACCCCTCACCTCGTCAGCGGCCTGCTCAGGATCTTCTCACTGAGAGGAGACAATACCCTGAAAGGCTGTTCCAATCAAATCTTGTCCAAGCTGCAGTCAGTCATTGTACTCTCTTACTTCATACCTCAAGCTTTCTTCTTCGGAGCCGACATGATGGCTACAAAATGGGGTGAGTATGGCATTGGAGAAGATCCGGTTAAAGCCTCAAACTACCCTGGTAAAAAGCTCTGTGAGCGGCTGTCCCGAAGAGAAGGTCATTGGTCGGGTAAGGGACAGGTAAACATCGAGTTTCGGCAAAATGATGTCGTGCCTCTGGAAGATGACCAGCAGCTCGAATATAAGGGATCATATGGGCGCGTGTGTCGGAGTATTTTGACGGTGGACGAAGAAAGAATCGTCGTGGCCCGGAAGACGATGCGACTTTCCGACATTCCAGCAAAAAAGATTCGTGACGAAGTGAAGATTCTTGAGGATTTAAAACATCGCCACCTGGTTACCTTTATCGGATCGCTTACCTCCAGGGGCTTTGCCAGCATCCTTATGTATCCGTTTGCGACATGCGATCTGGAGAGGCTACTCCAGGGACTGGACGAAGCCCAGTATCACGAACAAAGGAGCCCGGTGAGCACCCTGCTTTCCGAGCTCGGATGGATCCAAACCGGCCCCAAGGCAGCCCCATGGAAGCCAGGTGATATTTTCCCCCATCTGCAACGCATCTGCGGCTGTGTATGCAGCGCCCTCCTCTACCTACACCAGTGCCGGATCCGCCACAAGGACATCAAACCATCGAATGTGCTGGTGAGCAAGGACGGGGTCTACATCACCGATTTCAACATCTCCAAGGCGTTCAAGAGCGACCTGTCCTCTCATACGGTGGGCCCTTACGCAGGAACGATGAGATATAGTGCTCCGGAGTGTGTGTATGAAACGGGTCGTTCCTACCCGTCTGATGTGTATTCCCTCGGTCTCGTTTTCATGGAGATATATACCTATATTCTGGGCAGGTCTAGATCTGATATGAATGACTACACCAAGTCCGATCTGTCGCTCTCGAAAGACTCGCAAATCCGACACGCTGCCTTGCGAATTCTTTGGGTGAGGGTCATTTTTGATGGGGCAGGGAGAGGTGGCTTTGGCACGAACGCTGGCATGCAAGAGCTGATACTGAGAATGATAAGCGAGAATCAGGACGCACGACCTGAGGCTTTTGAGGTCATGTCTGAGCTGTGGGCTCATAGCCCATCGGGAGATTTTTTCTGCAATGAATGTAGGAAGCATAAAGGCTGTGTCGGCTATAAGGGCCTAACGAAGCGATACTCAGAGCTCTACGAAAAGTATAATAACACCATAAAAGAGAAAAATGACTTAGGTACGTTTAAAATATTCCATCCAAGCTTCTCGTTTAACAACGCGTACAGAGAAGAAGTTGGAGCAAGCACGGGAGGAGCTAAAAGCGAGCCGAGCAAGCAACGGTCCTCTGTCACCATCAGGCGAGGTGGGGCCGACGAAATCACCTCAGCTCACATCTCGGTCACTATCCCAGGTGTCGGTTATTCGCAGTCCTAGGACAGGATCGCCTGTGATACGCAATAAGAGTGGACAACGATTAGACCTTGACAGTTTAAGTTATTCGCGTACTGTCGACACAAGCAACAGTGACCTCATCGACACCCTGAAAAAGGTGCAAGGACTGAAGCTGTGCCGCGCACACTACCTCACCGAGAGATGTCGGAATCCGAAATGCTCTCATCGGCACGACGTAAATCTCACGGAGGAGGAGCTTGAGGCCTTGCGGTATCTCACACGCGGTCAAGCTCCTTGCAAGAATGGAAATGGTTGTTCGTATCCGAAATGTATATATGGCCATATTTGTCCCCTAGGTCCGTCAAAGCATCCTCATGACTGTCCCTTTGCGGACGATATGCATATAAGAGATACGATCCCAGTACTCTCGGATCCGTTAGATTGATGCAAGAAGCCACTGTCAAGTCAGGCACAATTTTAACATGGTTTCTCACTTGAGAATTTATACTGTGATTTTCCATACATGACCACCTAACCATTGGCGGGGATGGCTATACATAGTTTAGTGAACCTCTAGCTCAGTTTATGATAGATACACACAGTCCACACCAGGAGCACTCCCGCATTGTAGGATTAAGCTTTATCGGCCAATCATGGATTAAGTTTTTGCGAAATGACCATAATATGCCTCATTTAGACTAGGTAGTAGTACTGCCAACACAGAGGTAGCACAAAGAGCACGAATAGTTGAGATGCTCCAAGCTGTGGTGTGGTGGACAGATCACGGTGGATATCGTTATTGATCAAGATCGACGTGTCCGCGGAAGAAGCTCTGGGTTCTGTCCTTGGCGTCCTAGGCTGTTCAATCGTGGAGAACAAGGGACGACCTCAGATCGCATCTTACCCCTTTTCTCTCCAGCACACGGCCAGCTGTGCAGTGGAGATTGAACCGGCATTCCGGCATTATCACCCTTGGCACCGCTGGAACAGGTGTTCCCTGTAACTGTAAAAGTGGATTCGTGGCGCGTCTCCCCGGATATGTGGCGGCGCACAAATCAGAATTGGTCCGAGTCTCTACCAACAACGAAGAGGAAGAGTCTCTCAGTAACCGCCGAAGTCTGTATATATTAATCTATTAACAGCTCTATTATTGAATATTCTGTCCTATCCAACGGCTTGTATATTGATTTGTAATTTAGATAAATTAGTCAGAAAAGTCTTCGATAGATAATAGCAGGGCCCTGCTCTGGACGTTGACTGAAAAAAGAGGGGCCACTTGGTTTATTCAAGGCGCGTAAGACCGAATGGGGTGTTGAAGAGGCACCGACATCTATTCTGGAGCCCTTTTCCAGGACAGAAGATAGAAACAACTTCCCAGACTGAGTATTTGCATTATATTAAGGAACTATCGTAAGTAAACCTATGTCTATTGTTCTTGGCAAATAACTTTGAGACTCCAGCTTTCTTTTCTTCGAGCGGCGACAGCAGTCAGCCTTGGGACCCGGTTTCAAAGACCCCGCAGGATATATACAGGTATTCAACGAGGTTATGCAGGTGTCACAGACGGGAAGCTGGTGGCTGTACTTGATCTTCCGTCTCCTATATTCGCGGCAAGACAGAGTTATGCTCTGTCGCATGCTGCATGCTTTCATCCTCCCCGGTGTGTCGGGGAGGATGACTAAGTGGGGCCCGGTGGTTCCGGGGCTAAGTCACCTGATCCAAGAAAGACACGGAAAAAAGAAAAACACATACAACAGGAGGGATTCGCTGGTGGTCACCCACCCAACTACTAACCTCCCGGCGTGTGGCTTAAGTACGGCTGAGCGGACGGGAAGCCCTGTTCTCCACACCCTGTGGTCGTATGTATCAGCTTAGCTTTGGTATTGATTTATTATCTAGATAAGAGTTCACTTGCAGTTGTTTGCTTTCTGCTCGTAACAAAACCCACGAACTCTAACGGAGCGCGAGGGAACTCTAATTGGACCTATCGACGTGGATCTCTTAACAATTTTCCAAGGGTCATCTTAAAGAATGATGTTAAGCAAAGTTATTTTTTCCATTACTTATATTCCCGATACCCGTCAGTAGTCTCTGAACGAGGAAGGTATCAAAATATATCATTATTGTTGTTGTTGTTGTTGTTGTTGTTGTTGTTCGCAGTATCCCCACATATAGCTCCTTTCGCTCTGCTCAGGTCGTTGACGGCCGAATATATATATACATAGTACACAGCTCACACCAACATCAAAGAAATGAGTTCGCAGGCACAGATCAAAGCAAACAGACATCTTGTCTCCTGAGCTGGAATAGCCGGCGATCTTTTGGTTACAAGGTAATAGATTTCATTATAGTCAGATGCCATACTCAACTCGACCATCAGGGGTTTAGATGTCCTGGTATAACTGTACGAGGCGACAGGACTGATAAGATAGAACTTGAAAAGTCCATGCTGCGGGCGGTGAAGATGGTGGGGGAATTGGCCGCCCCACGTGCGCCAGGGGATCCCGACCGCCTACTCCCTCCGGATAAAAGGCAACGGCGCGACCGGCCAATCGATGTTCCGGGATCGACCCCTCGTCTGACTGGCCGATATCGCCATCGCCGTCGCCATCGCCATCAAAGCCACAAACTTTCCGGCGCAGAAATCTACCAGCAGGGAGGAATTCTCAGCCCAAGAATTGCGACATCATAACAAACAATATGACGAGTACAGCTCCGACGGAATCTCAAAAATTCCTCTCCACCAGAGGTGGTGACTATGGCGTGCGTCTTCTCAGCATGAGTCATACCTTGACGATTTACTGATTGTCCCTAAGCTCTCGTTCGAGACCGTTGTCTTGAAGGGACTCGCTGCGGATGGCGGTCTTTTCTTGCCTCACGAAGTCCCAATTGCCCATGACTGGGTATGTATGCTCAATGCCGCATAATGACTCCATGCCGGTGTCTTTATTTCTAGCCTTCGAAGCGATTCCCACGAATCTGAGGCTAATAATAGATTGCAGCAAAGTTGGAAAGATCTCTCCTACGCCGAGCTCGCCTTCAAGATCTTTAGCCTGTATATCTCTCCCTCCGAAATCCCCCCAGAAGACCTGAAAGGCATCATTGAACGGAGCTACTCGACCTTCCGTGCCGAAGATGTTGTGCCCTTGGCGCATCTGCAGGACGACAACCTGTATCTCCTCGAACTATTCCATGGCCCAAGCTACTCCTTCAAAGACTGTGTGTTTCCCGAGATCGTCCTGGTGTTATTGTGCTGAGACAATATTAGGTGCCTTGCAGTTTCTGGGAAATCTCTTCGAATACCTCCTCGTGCGGAAGAACCAAGGAAAGGTTGGAAAAGGTGCGCGCTTCGAAGCCCCTAGTCTGTTGCAACGCAGCGGAGCTGACCAACCAGCAGATAGGCATCATTTGACAGTTGTCGGCGCGACAAGTGGTGATGTACGTTTTATTGGTGTGCTCTTCATATAGCCTCGGGGTTAACCATGTATACAGACTGGATCTGCCGCTATTTACGGTCTTAGGGGCAAGAAGGACGTGTCGGTCGTCATCTTACATCCCAAGGGCCGCGTCAGCCCTATCCAGGAGGCGCAGATGACTACCTGCACAGACAGGAATGTCCACAACCTTGCCGTGACGGGAACATTCGACGATTGCCAGGTATGTTCGGAGCATATTGGAATTGCGGGATAACAAACTCACAGAGCAACAGGATATCGTTAAGGCTATGTTTGGCGATCCTGATAGCAACCAGGCCTTGAAGCTCGGTGCTGTCAACTCGATTAACTTCTCGAGAATCCTCGCCCAAATCGTATTCTATTTCTACGCCTACTTCTCGCTTGCTAGAAAGTCCCCGACGTTCAAGGTGGGTGACAAGGTCAGATTTGTGACCCCCACTGGAAACTTCGGCAACATCCTCGCGGGCTACTTCGCAACCAAGATGGGTCTCCCCGCCGACAAGCTGGTCGTGGCGACCAATGAGAACGATATCCTGCACCGCTTCTGGACAACTGGCCGCTATGAGAAGAACCCTGTCCAGGAACAGAACGCTGACGGCAGCGTGAAAGCCGACGCTTGCAAGGAGACACCGAGTCCTGCAATGGATATTCTGGTCTCCAGCAACTTCGAAAGACTCATGTGGTTCCTCGCAAAAGGTATGCCCCACGTGATAGTCACGGTTTGATCTTATGCTGACTGATCATAGAACAAGCAGCGGCAGCCGGCATGGACGACGCCTCCAGCAAAAAGAAGGCCGGTGAAGAGGTTTTGGCCTGGTACCAATCATTGAAGGCAACTGGCGGCTTCGGCCCTGTCGACAAGGACCTCTTGGCAAATGGTCGGTCGACTTTTGACAGTGACCGCGTGAGCAACCCAGAGACTGTGGAGACGATCAAGTCTTGCTACCAGGAGACCAAATACGTTCTTGATCCCCATTCGGCTGTTGGAGTTACCGTTGCGAAGAGATCGCTGGCCAAGACGGGCTCGAACGTCCATCACATCTCGCTCTCCACTGCCCACCCCGCCAAATTCTCCGAGGTCGTCGAATCGGCTCTGAAGGGCGAGGCCGGCTTCAACTTCGATGAGCAGGTGCTTCCTGACGAGTTCAAGGCTTTCGCGCAAAAGGAAACCAGGGTCACAACCGTTGAGAACTCGTGGGAGAAGGTCCGGGAGATTGTGAAACGCCAGGCTGAAGAGGACATCAAGGCCGAGAGCAGCGCTTGAATCAAAGGTTTATGTGAGACGAATGGTCTAGGCCCCACTGCCTGACATTAATAGACATCTTTTCTTTTTTCTTCCAAAAATACCAGGTTTCATTTGCTGTGTGCTTATTGTTTCGCGGGCACTGGGACACCACCCTTTGCCAAGCTTTCACACATAGATGCGAAACAGAGACTATAAAATATCCTTCCATGACGCTTTAGCTACTACCAAAGAATGTCCTCTGATATATAAGCCAACAAGAACTGTTCCAATGCAGCTAGTTACATGATGAAAGGGCCATGGTAGTCTTAGCCTTTATTTGTAAGACACTGATAACTAGAAGAGGGCTTTCCCATCAAGTACGTAGGGGCTGTACAATATCTAAGTTCTTACGCGATGGCTTGTATACTTAGTAGTTGGTCAGTTGACATGTATATCACTGGTCGTGCCGTCATGCATATGAGCAATGGAACCCTGATTGATGATGCGCGCGGACGGGGCTGGGAACAAACTTGGTGCTAATATCTTAACCACACCTACCTTCCATACCTTGAGAATTTATTCGCCAGTATTAAGTTGTCATAGTCCAAGTATTCTTAGTAGAGATATCCTGGAAGCTCTTTTAAATAGCATGATATAAGAAACCCGAAATGCATACTGCATAGAAAGAAGAGTTATCGCCTGCCTTTGCCGGAGAAATGTGCATTCAGTGTACTGTAGAACAAATTTACCCACTAGACGCAAATACCATTTGCTGTTAGCCAGTGGACGACAATAGCTCCGACCTTTCTATCAAGTGCCAAAAAAAAGAAGGAAAATAAAAAGAACATCGCAGTCTAGGGATTTCCACCCGAGAGTTGTTCATCCTGTTCAGTCCTCGTTGTGGCCAATCACTTGACCTATATTGATCATGTCCAATGATTTCTCTTGCAAGCGGTGATTTACTCACACGCGGGTTAGGGTTATGGCCATGGTTCGTTCAAGGGTCGGTACAGGGTTAGTAGAGAGGCCATCGCACCGTCCTTTGTGTATCCAGTAGGTGAGTGCTTTGCAGCTACTGTGCCTATCACATAAACCTAGGCATTCATGGAGCCCCTTCGTCCTGCCCAGATGAATCCCACCTGTATTGACTACTTGGGCAAGTGCTACTCACGGTTTAGGAACGGGTCTCAGCCATTTCCACGGAAACACAATAGTATGAGACTTACCTCTCCTACACCAGGCCCTATAGGGTTTGCGGCTCCTGCTTATATAAATGGCCGGGTTCTCCCCGCGACCGCCTAAGGAAGGCAAGTAAGCGGTTGCAACGAAATAGAACCCAAAGTCTTTGAAGACACATACAATTCACAATGTCCGCATCTTTCGCATGCAGCAGCTGCTGCATGGATGTTGTCCTCATTTCGCAGTCCTCATCAGTAACTTCCAGGCACTCTGCCCACGCTTCATCCACCTCAGCCTGGCAATCCGGCTGAGGATGGGGGCTGGGAGAGCCACCGGGGACTAGCGCCGTTCGATCTGTTCGGACCAGAAGCAACCACTCTCCATGTCGATCAGGCTTCTCCACGAACCCTGCCGTAGATAAGAAACACCTGCCCCCTGTCGGACTGCTACTAGTCTTTGGCTTCCATGAGGCGGCATGACATGAGCCCGTCTCGGAGCACTTCTTGGCACACTCATAAGCATTCAAGACTTCGTAGTACATCACATTGGTATTTGTGGCGTAGTGGTTGCAGACATATTCGTAGATAACTCCATCGACGGACTCCTCTTGTCGGCCGGTTCCTAGACAGCAGGCGTCTTTATTGGGAGGTCCACCGGTACTGGTTGGAGAGAGACATGTTGGGGTCTGCTCGCTCCAAGTGGGTGTAAATACAAGAGCCAGGAGAAGAAGCCCTGATCTGGTTGCCATCTTAAAATAGTGAGATAGGGTGATGTATATATTTAGCTAGGGATAAAGACAAACTAGTTAGAATAGCGGGGGTGTTTCCTATTCACGACGTATATGCAAAGGATGTTCCATACACGTGAGCCGGAATGGAAAAGAACGCCTCCATGATGTAATAAAGTTTAAAAATTGTGTTTGTGATCCAGTACGAGGCTTAGATTTGGGACTTCTCCAGGTTGCAACCATGGTATCACTCTGTTGAATCCTCGGGAGAGTTCTCTATAGCCTTTTCCACCCCAGAGAATCGATACATACGACCATAGGGTGTGGAGAACAGGGTTTCCCCTCCGCTCGGCCGTACTTGCGCCACACGTTAAACACGGCTGACTGGAAAATATGCCCTTTGGAAGTTGCTGCTTTATAGGGGAGTGCTACTAAATCACAGGGTAAATATAGATAATGTAGGTGATGTTGTCTAGAGCGCTTATGAGCAGGGTGCAAGTGGGTAAGCAAGAAAAACCGGTAGGATTCTAGTAAAGTTAGATAGGAGCATTCAATCTGATTATATATGTTCCCCGTACTCGTTCTCAAGAAGCAGCTGTTACGGAACTTGCAACCTCACCCTATAAATCAATCTGAGCGTGTTATACTAATGCAACACGGAAACTCACAGAGTTACCCAGACACTAACCTACTATTGTCCACTATTCTATCTACTATTATTTATTATTATACGTGGGAACTACCCTCTTGGAATTATACATGGTATGCAATACTCGTGCACCTGTTCTGTGTTCTACACCGCGCCCGTAATTTATTTCTATTTTCAAAATGTTTTATGCTTCAGTGGGTTCGGTACTAACATTCTTACCCAGTCATTTGATAGGGAAATTTACTTGATCTCTCATTCTTGCCAAGATTTTGAACTGTTCAGATCTAACATATCAATATAATTCGCTTATCTTGGTAGGGAATTTCTTCTACATCCCAGTCCGTCTCTATTATGAGTTGTAGCTAAGCTTGGAGAATACAGAGTACCTTGGGACTATTAAACCGAATACTGAATAACTTTTAGAGTAAAAGGAATTACGGTTCCGTGTACAAACTAGCGTGTTTGTGTCAGGTAGTACTAGAGACGTAGCTGAAAGGAACTTTAGTTCCTTGAACGTAGTGGGCCTTATTAAGTTATTTATCTGACACTTCGCCAGAGCATTCTCTACCCTGTAAGGTAAAATTACACTGTTTACACTTACAGGGTTAGTGCACCTATAAAAGGCAAGGAGTTGTGTAATATTCTTGCTCCTAAGCTGTAGCTTTACTATATATCTCTTGTCCGCTTGCCAGTGCACCTATCTTGGCCGTTACTCAGCCTTTTATACTGTTGCTTCAGGCTGTCAAGAATAGCAGTACCCTTGTAAATGTCTGCTCTAGCTCAAGCTTCTTATAACTATACTCTCCAGATAAGTAAGACTCCTATATCCCGGCGGTCACGATAGAAATAAATTATAAAGTATCCGCTAACACTTTGTTCCAGATACCTAGAATATCTCGAAGGTCGCTCTGATATTATGGAGTGAGAGAGACTCGCCAATTAGAATTGCAGTTCTTTAATATCCGGATAAGCTCTCTGGTCACTGGCTGTGTTGCTATACATGTTATGCCATATACTAATCTAACTCTGCCCGAAAACTCATGTTATCAGAAGATACTCCCAGAGATAGAAGCACGCGGTATCGGGAAGAATATCTCGAATAAGAGCGCGCCGGCAGACCTTACTCGCGAGATTATTAAAGATATCCTGGACAGAGTATCGGGACCTGTGTGATGTGGTACTATAGTTTCTATGATAAAGTTTATGTCCAATTATATACCGACAACTATTTCAGTGAGTGCCTTTGTGTGTTTTCATTTTCTGTTGCTCATAAACATAAATTAATTCACTGATATGTGTCGCGCAGGATTAGGCCATGAAGGGGGAACTGGGTTGAATAACGGCCAGGTCCATCCATGTGTTATTATTACTTTTACCTCTCATTCGCGCTTATCCTACCTACATAACTGTGGCTATCTAATCACTGTTTGCGCACCTAGTTATACTAGTGGTGATCCATTTGTGTTTCCTTTCTTTTTTCAGTTTCGTCTTTAGTAACCTACGAATAAAATCGTTTTCTATTCATTGAGGTTATCACAATAACCACCTGTTGACCCGAGAGGTCGAAATTTCCCACTAGGAGTCGTACAATCGAAACCATATCAGAAACAAGAGATTGCCTATATTGACCAATCAAATAAATCCTCGAGAAAGGGCCGGCCAGTAATCTCTGTCGTAGGGTAAGTGGATTTGTCAACCCATGAGGTACCAACAGGTATTGCCGGTCGTTTGAGTTGCCCGAAAGGAAACCCGAGGGTGAGATGCGAGAATCGACCGAGACATATATTTGACCTGAGTCCCCCAAACAGCCTTACGTGGATGACTTGTCAATGGACATTCTGGGAAGCTGTTCTGTTAATAATGTGGCTTTTATCGCCGCTCTAGGGTGTGTGTGGACTGGGAATACACAGAAAGTTGGTGTGAAACCCACTTTCTGGAACTACCGAGTCTGTGGAAAGCCAATCCCTCACAGGCCGAGGGTTGAAGTAGGCATTTCACATGACTTGTGTAGCCCTCAATAAAGCGGTTGAACAAACTACGCCATTATTTAGTGCAATTTTACTCCTAAAGTTCTATTACCTATTTTGGTGGTTATGTTGATGCGTTTATTGAGGTTTTTAGAGACGGTTGAGTGGGATTCCGACATCATCTTTATGCCGGCCTGCTAAGATTAATTTCACAATACACCTCCCGCCTTGAGGCCCTGAGAGATGATTGAGAGGCCAGCACAGCATCTCTCTTACGGGATCCATGGTCTTTCTATTCTCAAAGTCGACTGGTTCATGAAGAGATTGGGATATTCCTTAACTCAGCTCACTGGCCTTAACGCTTCTCAGTAGTGCGAATATATTTTTCAACCCTTCACTTTTTGGAGACCAAGTCAATATGTCCATGGAGGATATATTTTGCCTGTGATGACTCACCCCCCCAGGTAAAATTTGCAATATTCAATCAAAATCCCCTCACTCGGAGATGGTAGCTCAGGCGTAAAGCCTTTGTGCACGGACGAAATATGAGATATTTAAACTAACAGTGACTGTCTGATATAAGTACAATGAATGTCCCATGTGATTTACGTTATGAACTAGAAAGGCGGGTCTAGATGGGGTTTTTGTGAAGAAGCCTTCAGGGCAAAAGAGCCACCAATATATCGCATGTGCGGTTGGTGTCATTCATGACAGGACTAGCGCGAAGTCTTCCGAGTCCAGGTCTAGTGAACACAATAGAGAAACGGAATATGAAGTAATACTAAAACTAATAACAAAGCAAATGATTGAAGATAAGAATCATGGAGAAGGTATAGTCGAAGGCCCGAATCCCGTACGCTACCAACAACAACCACACTATGCCACCATCGGCATGGGCCTATTGCGACTGGTGACCTACTGATGCCTCTGGTCATAGCCGGGGCGTCTCCGAAATCATATGTGCCATGTATCGGGCAGGCTTGGCTCTTGTCCACCACACGTCACAGGAGTTTGTATTCTCTTATACCTTCTCTGCTCCCGGGCCGATTCTATGTGAGTAGGCCTTCGGTTGGGGTTATTCCGTGTATACGAGGTTTGGTGGAGACTAGTACTAGCGCCACAGTGATTTCGAGTATGTTCGCTTGCCAGTTTTGCCGTGCGGGATCCACTTGATAATAAGCAACTTACATATATCTCCGGACTAATGCCGGTGGTATCACCGTATGACTGTGTCTGTGTTGGAGATACTGGGTTAATTCATTGCCGAGTATCAATGTTGCGGGGGTAATGCTGCTAAGCTATGTAGTGAAATCTCGGCATCCCGCCGATCCAACCATGGAGCCAAGACATTCCTCCCAAAGTTACCCCACGCCTCGAGTAAACGATCCGGGGTACATCCAATGAGACTACTCTTCCCCTCCGGCTAAACTTCGGGAATCTGGCCTTCGTCTGTGTTCGGACCATGTCTCTTGGGCTTTCAGATTTGCTCACCGGTAGCAGTACTTGTTTCTGGCATAATCTACGACAAGTTACGCACGGATAGAAGACAATTGACCAGACGAATGTGGTCATTCTGTCGGCTTCATGACGTCAGGCCGCCAGATAAGAAGTGCTCCTGGTTCGTCTCGGCCTTTCTGGGGTGAACGCTCCGTAGTTACATGGGCAGGTTCAACGAGAGATCGTCGAATCTTGTCCTCTCCGATTGGACCTCATTATTCCGAACACGGAACCTCCCGACAGTTTCTACCCCAGAGAATACGTGATGTTTGTTGTACCATTAGTTTAGTACGGTCTCTCGTGTGGTTGCGAGTCAGTCATCGGAATGGTTTATTGCCGTATATCCTGAGCCGACCTCGGAACTGCAAAGGGAGACCGATATCAGGGTTGACTAACACTCGTTGCGACTGTGCCGCAGGGAGCGGGAGCAAGAGCTAATGTTTAAATTGCACTGAGAAAGAACATGGGAGCGGCAAAGTGCTTCCGTGGGCTGCCGCATATTCCCCGTGCTCGCTGCGGTGCCGGCCGAAAAGGCGAGAAGAAAAAATTTGCACAAGTCACCCCGCGAGCGGAATATGGGGAACGGAGATGTGGGGAACCCTGCCGACCACGCGATTCGAAGCGAAGCCCCGTGGGGTTGTGGGTCCTGGTAAACCAGGCATCAAATTCCCTCAACAGTGCCCCATACTCCGGACCCTACGGCGGCAACTCATCGTCGGCCGGCAAGATTCTTTTTGGTAGCCGTCGAGAGGACTATAAGTAGTACCTGCTGCTCGATAAGGATCGCAAGATGACTTCGGTAGAGCTGCTTTGAGGTCCAACAACAACCCAGGTGCGAACCATGGCTAGCATTGCTCACCTTATTGTCTCAGGCCTGTTGGCTGCTACTGCGGTCAACGGCCAGGACTACGGCGGATCTGGTCGAGGCGAGGACGCTTTCTCCTATGTCCAGCCCCTTAACACCACTATCCTCGGCCAGTATGGACATTCGCCCGCTGTGCTTCCGTCCCGTATGTTTCCAATCTGCCACCGAATCTATTATCCAGTGTGACTGACTTCCATAACAGCCAATGCGACCGGGTCGGGTGGCTGGGAAGAAGCCCTTGCCAAAGCCAAGGAGTTTGTTGCTCAGTTGACGCTCGAGGAAAAGGCCGACATGGTCACCGGCCAGCCCGGGCCCTGCGTTGGAAACATCGTGGCAATTCCTCGACTGGGCTTCAATGGTCTCTGCTTACAGGATGGCCCCTTGGCCATTCGTGTCGCTGACTATGCTAGCGTCTTCTCGGCTGGTGTCACGGCGGCATCGACTTGGGACAAAGACATTTTATATGAACGAGGTGTTGCTATGGGAGAGGAATTCAAGGGCAAAGGTGCCCATGTCGCTCTTGGACCCGTAGCTGGCCCTCTCGGACGCTCAGGATATGGAGGTAGAAACTGGGAGGGCTTTGCAGCAGACCCTTACCTGACTGGTGTTGCCATGGAGCTTACTATTCAGGGTTACCAGGATGTCGGTGTTCAAGCCTGTGCGAAGCACTTCATCGGCAATGAACAAGAAACCCAACGCAATCCAAACTATAATCCCAACGGCACCTTGACCGATGTCATCCAGGAAGCCGTTTCCTCCAATATTGATGACCGGACTATGCACGAGCTATACCTCTGGCCTTTTGCCAACGCTGCCCGTGCTAAGGTCGCTAGTGTTATGTGTGCATACCAGCGTCTCAACGGCTCCTATGCCTGCCAGAACTCGAAGGTTCTTAATGGTCTTCTCAAGGAGGAGCTTGGCTTCCAGGGCTATGTCCAGTCTGACTGGGGTGGTACTCACTCTGGTGTCGCCTCCATCGAGGGAGGCCTTGACATGAACATGCCGGGAGGTCTCGGAGCATACGGCCAAACCCCCGAAGCAGGCTCGTTCTTTGGAAAGAACGTCACCCTGGCTGTCAACAACGGAACTGTCGATGTATCTCGCGTGGATGATATGATTATCCGTATCATGACACCTTACTACTGGCTCGGCCAGGACCAAGACTACCCCTCGGTCGACCCTTCGTCTGCCGACCTTAACACATTCTCACCTCGCTCTACATGGCTTCGCGAGTTTAACCTGACTGGGGAGCGTAGCCGTGATGTTCGCGGCGACCATGGCAAGCTGATCCGCAGACATGGAGCTGAAGCCACTATCTTGCTGAAGAACGAGAACAAGGCCCTCCCCTTGAAGGCCCCCAAGTCAATCGCTGTCTTTGGAAATGATGCTGGGGAGACCACCGTGGGCGCCGTCAACCAAGCTACCTTTGAATATGGCACCCTTGCTGCCGGTGGCGGCTCGGGAACTGGTCGTTTCACATATCTGGTCTCCCCGCTGGAGGCCCTCAAGTCCCGTAGCCAGCAGGACAACACTCTGGTTCAGTGGTGGTTGAACAACACCCTCATCGCGGACTCAGACGTGACTACCCTGTGGGTCCCCACGCCACCCGAAGCCTGCCTCGTCTTCCTCAAGACATGGGCCGAAGAGGGCTCGGACCGCGAGCACCTCTCTGTGGATTACAATGGCAACGAGGTTGTGGACTCTGTCGCCTCGAAGTGCAACAACACTATCGTTGTTACCCACTCGTCTGGCATCAACGAGCTTCCTTTTGCCAACCACCCCAACGTGACTGCCATTCTCGCCGCCCACTACCCTGGACAGGAGTCTGGTAACTCCATTGTCGATGTGCTGTACGGCGATGTCAACCCCTCCGGAAAGCTGCCATACACAATCGCCAAGAACGGCAGCGATTACAATGCGCCTCCCACGACCGCCGTCAACACCACCGGTCCGGAGGACTGGCAGGCATGGTTCGACGAGAAGCTCGAGATCGATTACCGTTACTTCGATGCCCACAACATCTCCGTGCTTTACGAATTCGGCTTCGGTCTGTCGTACACGACCTTCGGTCTTTCCGAAATCAACGCCGAACCCCTGGCCGAGTCGATCACCTCCGCCCCCGAACAACTGCCCACCCAGCCCGGCGGAAACCCCGCGCTGTGGGAGAGCGTCTACAACGTGTCCGTTGTGGTCACGAACTCTGGTGACGTGGAGGGAGCCGCAGTCCCGCAGCTCTACGTTACCTTCCCTGACAGCACCCCTGCTGGGACCCCACCTAAGCAGCTCCGTGGATTCGACAAGGTGTCCCTGGCACCTGGTGTGTCGCAGACTGTCGGATTTGAGCTCATGCGCAGAGATCTGAGCTACTGGGATATCGTGTCGCAGGACTGGTTGATCCCTGAGGGCGAGTTCACCATCCGGGTGGGTTTCAGCAGCAGGGACCTGACCCAGGTGACGACGATTACTCCTGTGTCGGCTTGAGGAGGGATATAGGGCATAACGGTGCTATGTGATGATGAAATCTTGATATGAGTCCATGTACCTCTTTAGTAATATAACCTATGCAGGTTTATTGAGGCTATAATAACAATCCATTTAATGGTTCATGCAATATATGAATGTCAGTCCTGACACTCCATCCATTCTATCGCCTCCCTCTTAGTAATAGTCGGGGATGGGCACGTAGATACATATCTCCGAGCTGTCACAGGCAGAGCCCAAACCGTAGAATCTCGAAGCAAGTTACACAAAGGAACCCGGGATCCCCTCACTAAGAAGAACATTACAAAGACTAAGATCCATAAAATCAGCCATAGGAGACAACGTATCTGCGACGGATGAGCCTGCCGCCCCGAAACCGCCCGAAGGGGAGCCACAGTCAGGCCAGGCCGCACGTTGGGAAAAGGAGCTATTTCCTTCATGGTGGAATCCATCAGTACCATTGCCATTCCTCGCCATTTTCCTGCTGCCACCTGGTTGTTGGCGAGACCCTGGCTTCTGCTTCGTGCGTGTATTCATTCGGTTCCGTCGGCGGACCTCCCATTGACGCTGCAATGTGCCGAGGAAGGTGCTTGTGCGTTTTGCATTCTCGAGACTGCTTCCCATATCTTCCAGCGCTCGGAAACAAGTATTAAGGTATCTGAGTAGTTCCTGGTTTCGTGGGGTTCGTTTCGAAGGCGCTGTTGCGAAGATTAAGATGAGCGCGGCGGAGAAGATGAACGACACGATCTGGACGTTTACCCTGCGGAAGGTGTATAGACTTTCATATAATGTTAGGAGCTTCACTATAGATATGGCAGATTCCAGACACATGCTACGCGCATGGTGTGGTCCGGGGCCTTGCGGGGGTTGTGGCTGAATGTAATGTTTTGAGATGTATGGGCGGTGACAGTGAATCATGAACTGGTAGTACTGCATACTTGGACGGCTATTAGACTTCTCCGCAGGTATGAGATCTGCATAGGGGTAGCAGCTTACTGGAGAGATAGAATATGTGGGACTGGGGGTTGGCAGATGGGGCGTCCCTCAACATGAAGTTCACATGGGAGGTTCTTCTTCCACGTTTGTAATTTCTGTACCGTATTGGCAGTCAGAACTTGAAGCGAAGGAATCGAGACTTCTGAAACTCCGTATCTAGATGACGCGGAATTAGCCATATATTTATGGAATAAGCATGCGGCTCACTCACAACACGTCCGTCAAGGGTAGCATTAGATCGTACAGACACACCCATTGAGAACATATCAGATCGAAAGGAACCATGATGTAAGACGACATACTCATTGTCGGGTACGCCTTCCATTTGATTGCAGGAAGAGGGCTAGATGAGCCTGGCTTGGGAACAGATACACCACTCGTAGGGCTCTGCGGGGAACGCCCCAGATAGAACCCCCAAAATCTGATTAGTTAGTGACGTGTTGCACCCCCAAAGGCATATATCTTACTGTTCACTAAGGTAGACTCCCCAAAATACCATCCGGCGGAGGTCAGCCTCCTCTGGCGAAATTATTTCCTTCTCCACATAGGGCGTCATGTCCAGGTGGACACCGAGGTCGAACGCAAGTCTCATCGCCATACCTAGTCGGCTTTAGTTTAAAGCGAACATTTACGTCGTTCCATAGGCTTACCGCTATATAGCCAACAACGTGTATCTCTAGTACAAGACGCCTCGTAGCTGCTTAAAAGTACTAATGCTTGGATGGTGGCAACGGAGGGGTTTTCCATCTCAAGCTCCAGCAGCAACTTTGCCCTATCACCGAAAAGTTCGGAGAGCGACCGGGGAAATGTTACTAGATCTGGATGGTACTTTGATTCATGTGCGGCACCTAATGCACACATGGCATTCGACAAAGCACGAGAATAGTATTGTGTGGATGATCGTTCATTTGGATACCCTGATTGGGCCTTCCAGAAGACATCCATGTCCACTACATGTAGCCACGGGTCTTGCCATGCAAAATAAAGCTCAATTAGATGTCTCTCGAGTTCTTCCTGCACGGGGATGTTGAGGTCCGCATTCTCGAGAACCTCCTGTGTGTCTCTCTGTAAAGAGCTTGGACTGGGTGGTATAACGCCAACTAGGGCGTCTAACAAGGTGAGATTAGAGGTTGAGCCGAAATATCGAAGTTGACCATGATGTGTGAGCTGTAGCCGTCCCAGACGATATGACACCTGGTTAGTTACTTCATCATCGCTGTCCGAGTCATTTCCATTTGGCTCAGGTGGAGTGGCCATCGGCTCAAACAGAGATTCATTCAATGAGGGATTCTGTTCCAGTGAGGTCGGATACATCGGTTCCTGACTTCCAGAGTGCGGTATAATATCTTCTACTATGGCTTGACCAGACGCATTGCCTTCCACTAAATGCCCTCCATCGCCGGTATTCTGGCCAACCCGATAGGAAGCTCCATAGCCCCGGCTCGTTGGGCCGTTAGCTCCTGCTTCTTCTAATTGTGGAAGTCCCAATTGAGGCACACCGTTGTCATCGGCGTATATCTTATTATGAACCTGTTGGCCCGTTATAGTCCCAGGGTGCCCCTCACTTTTGCGGAAATCTTCACAGGTAATCTCAAGAGCGTCAAGGATATTCTTGACAGCGACATAACCTTCATCATTTATCTCCGGCCTCTGGAGGCCATGGTCCCGGATGAAGCGCGACAGCTGATCAACTCTCTGAGCTAGGAAGCCAACGGCGACTCGCACTGGGACCTTGCGTTTGTCATCAGTTTGCCGATAGCTACAGTCTTTCCCTTTTATTCGACAGTTTTTACACGTCGGGGTGTTTCCGTCACACTATTAATAGTCAACTTAAAATCATGTCACAGGTGAGACAGTAGACCTACTTTCACTTTCCCGTACCTGCAGGGGATACATGCTGTGGTCACATGCTTGCGAACGGCTCTCGAGGCCCTGTTTCGCGGAGTCATATCTTAAGCGTCTTAATACTAATAGTCTCTACTGCCATTTTAACACAATAGAAACGGTGGTCGAAGATGATGTTGACTTTGGCCCGGGATTCAAATTCCGGATGAGTAATCCTGGTCTACGCATGTTCGTCTCACGTGTTCCTTTCACAACCTATGTACCAAACAAGCATCGGTGATCGGAAATGGCATTAGGTGGGCTTGGGTCTTGAATGAGCGTTGCGATGGATTAGAAGGCAATAAATATGGGATGGTGGAGTATCAGGTTATCAATTGTGGGACTATTCGAAGCATTGACCGTACACCGTATAAGTAAATTCTAAATACATGCAACTGCATATGGTACATCCTTTCTCCAAGGTTGTGTTTTCCTGTTTGTTGTGCGTAGACTGGCCAAGTTCATCCTTGAGAGCTCCGGGTCTCAACGACATGTCGGATTCCCGACCTAGGAAAAGAGAAAAAAGACAAAAGTGACAGAATCATAACGACTGTTGTAAGCACACATGCTTCGACAAAAAGATCACCAGAAACAACGACGTAAATACGCTGGTTTCGAGTCACGTATATCACTGCTTTATACAAATGAAAATCACGAGAGGATATATAGAACATATTAGACAATTCGGGGTATGAAAATAACAAAGGGACATGTCGGTTCAAGCGCATTAAGGGTGTAAAAGAAGGGCGTCTGATACTATGGGGCAGGGTCAATTATGGTTATGAAGGCTGGTATATTAATTGGCACTCTGGAGTGTGAATCCAATCCGATTGAGGAGCGAAAGGCGTGACCTGCGCTGGCTGGTGCATGAACATGCCGGAGGGTGCAGTAGTGTAGAATCGAGCAGCCGAGTCATCCTCTGGTAACATGCCATAGCTCATATTAATGGCCCATTGTGACGATGATAGTTCCGCTCTGGAACGCTCCATGGCTGGGTTGTAATAGTCGAGAGTAGGATGTATATACCTGAATTCGGGCGTCAGTTCACCGCTGTGCTTTAGGATTCTACCATTCCTCGTGAGGGATGCCAGAAGAGTTGGCAATAATCTAGAGGTGACATACCGTGGACAGTATCCAGGAGAAACGTCATGATACTCCCAAGATGGGCTGACCGCGGACATGGCTGTAGCAGAAGAATAGAAAGAATTGTGGGGGACAACTCTACTTGCTGTCTGCGTATCATGCATAGCATCACCCCTTTCAGGCGTATAAAAATCGTCCTTCGTTGTAGAATGGCTCATGGTTGCCGAATGTACCATGTCATCCGCACTGTGAACAGGCGACTTGAAGCCGCTTTCATTGCCCAGGTCTTCATGATGACTCATGATAAATTTGTTGTGACTGCGACGACGAGATAGCTTGGTGACACCCCATTTTTTCAAGCGACTCCGCAATTGAGTCTCACTGTGGAGGAACAGTCGACCGGTCAGGGCATTTGTCTCTCCCTAAGGACTCTTTGGAATGCCTCACCTTGGATTGAATGTCTCCGAACGAATTCTTTTGAGCACTTGTTTTAGAGGCCATTCTTCCTCTTGATAGAGTTTGATGATCAAGCCTCTCTTCATCTCCCACATTCTAAAAGATATCGTGTGTTTCATATTGGATGGTGTTGGTTCAACTGTTCAGTTTATCCTAGGCTGGCTGTCAACAAAAAAAATGGTGCAATACCAAGGGGTCCTCTTGAAACATATATACAACTGAGAGATACTTCTGCAAACGCAAAATACGAACTAGGTAAAAGCCCCCTAGAGCCAAAAGCCACCAAGGTTACAGGCCGATCGCGCAGGCACAAAGTCTAAAGCAAGGTTCAGCAAGGGTAAGGGTATGGCTTGCCACGTGTGATGAGCAATTCAAATGTGATAATCCCGGGCCCACTGATGGATGAACGCCCTGAGTTTCATCTCCAAGTTTTAGACTTCCTGGATACCCTATTCTGACCATCTTATCCGAGGCTTTACCCACCTTCGTCTAGGCGGCCCCTCACCCCTAAAGTCTCGTAACTCGTCCGGTGGGGACGCACGCCATCACGATTTCATGGGCTACCGTTTCGATCTTGAGCCCTTTTTTTTCTCCCCCCCTCCCTGCTAATTGTACCGAAATCAAGACCGACGAGGCGGTGCTCCCGTGGACGATCCGTGGACGGCACTCCCATGATCGTCCGGATGTCTCCATCCTGATGAGTTACAACTTCCCAGTGAGACTTATCTGCGATCGAAGCGTCTGCTGACCTTTCGGCCGGAAGTCGCGATGTACGCATGAACGGCACTAAGGCTTTGAGTGGGTCATCGACCCATGGAATACTTTTCCTCTATTGTCCTCGGTTAAGTCACATCAGACATGGTTCACCAGGCGGGTGATTGGCCACTCCAAAACTCTTAACGCATCACTCCAATGTGGGGGTTTCGGGCACGGTTATCTGTCCACCCAAATGATACTCCTGTCAAGGCTTCTCGGCTGCCTTGTCCCGGATATGTTCGGATTCTGTCCGATTAGTCACACAAACCATATCCTGTCCAGGTCCCTACCACAACACATCCATGAGGTCCTGGCTACCTTTCGACCTTCCGAAAATGTAATACGTAAGGTTTGCCGGGATGTGGCACCTGTGGGGGATTACGCAGGATGGGGCGAGGGTCGCGACAGCATCTTCTGGCTAGTCTCAGCAGTAAACAAACTACTGCACCTCTCGCTAGATAGACTTCAGTCCAGATTACCCCGGCGACCTGGGTCTAGACGTAATATAGGTTGGCATACTAAAATTGCAACGATCTTCTTGGAATTTCCGGAAGTAGACAGGAAACTTTGCGGGTGGGAATCAGTCATAAAAATATATGGCTTGCAGAATGACTTCATCATACCAGGTATGAAACATGCCTTTGTTCAACCCTACTGAGTGGACTGATCTGCCTTTGATTGAACGAATATGGAGCGAAGACTTAAGGGGCTAAACCTGTGCGATTTCCTCCCATACTATGCTGGTTTGTCCCGTCCTAACCCTTTCTCCCAAGGCAGATAGCATTACCAAGATGGATGAAGTAAGGCGAAGTATTCTATGGTACACTACTCCGAAAATAGCTTTGTGTGCAGGTTGCAAATATTTGGTAAACTAAGAGTAGTAGTCCAGGGGCTACTCTACCAATCCCAGTCGCGCCGTGCTCAACTATACGAGTCCAATACGCGGCCATGTACGATGCATATCAGTCATACCACGCGATCCTAGTTATAATTTCTGCATTCTGCTCTAGTGTACAACTATCCGAACCATATACATTGTGTATTGAATAAGATACATGTAAATATTAGCACAAATCACCGCCCATCCTTTGGCAGAGGTGGCAGCGGCGGCAGGTTGTCCTGGACAAACGGTCTTGGGCTTTTTACCACGCGAACACTAGTTGTCTTCATGATTTTCATGTCTTCGCTCTCAAACCCGTGCTGCCGTAGCTGGGCGAACTGCATATGTCTCAAATTCCTCTTTTCCATAACCTCATCATCGCACTTGATATAATGACCCTGCGATTGGAATCGGTTTGGCAGATTCATTGATGCCTCATGGATTTCGTTGTTCAGGTTACTGTCCCGCGAAAGCTTGCGGATGAGCGAAGCCATTTTCAACTCAATGTTAAGCTTCACGATATACGTGACCGGATGGAACTGGATGTAAACCATTGGGTTGGGCAGGAACATGAGCCCAATGAGAATAGCCTAGGGATGGAATGTCAGAATTAGTTGAGAAGATGGGTAAGAATGTGCGGTGAACTCACGTCCATCAGGACGGAAATGAACATCATTCGCATGTTGAAGCGAACTAAGGGCCCGTATTTTTTTAGTCCGTTTTGCCGAACCAGTCGCACACGCACAACTCGTAGGAACCAAACGTTCAGACACGCATCCACGACGCATATTAGTAATTTGGAAATTGGGTCCCAGTAGCGATTAATGAGGACAAAGCTACACAGCAAGGTCAGCGGGTACTCGGAGAGAATAGGGATCAGGCACTCACGTATGATTGACTGGGGGTGTCATATGTGCTGGAATCCATATGCAGAACACGGCGACATTGATGGCTGTTATAAGGCAAGCAGTGCCCCATTTGACCCTTCTTGCGGTCTTCTTCTTTTCCACCACCACGTAGATGCGGTTAATGATAACCTGCATACAACATTGGATTTCAAGAGCCCAGCAGAATAGTAGAAGAGCCAGTACAGGTGCGCTGCGGGAAAAATGTTAGTACCACCGAGAGCTGTGCAAACATCGGATGGGCTGGTGCTCAGGGGCTTACATGACCGGTACAATTCCCTCCAGCACAAGCCACCCCATTACTCCAATTACCACATTAGACAGGATCTCAATCCAGATAAGGATGACGAAAGGGCTCTTGTAGGGCTTTTCAATTTCCGACGTCTGCTTTATTGCATTCCAGACGGTGAGAAACCCGAACCCCAGTGTGAAACCCGCCGCCAGTCCGACGAGCTTGAAGTCGCTGACTGAAGGCTCCATCTTTCGACAGGGACCGCAATAGCACTATAGCGTGCTGTAGGTGAAATGGAATAATGCAGGACGAATGATGGCTACGTCTTGGGAAGATGCAGACTGATACTGTTGGGGTTTAAGTGTCTCATACTGACTCAAGTCTGCAGGGTTCCAATGGACCCTTCAAGCTTGGTTTACAAACTTTCGTAGTACAATCCTGCTACCATTCACATTGTTGCTCGAGGGTCTCTAGTGAGGCAAGAACGGCGAAACTCAATTGCCGTGAAGTAATAGCATGAAGTTGACGGATACGCTATCCTGAAAATGAGACCTACTAGAATTGAGCGAAAAAAGCCACCTGGGCAAAAATAACCGAGGTGGTGCTCCTTTGACAGCACACGTGGGATGAAGGTCCTATCGGACTGCGTTTATGCCTGACGAACGTTTGATCTGCAAAGATGAGCCATAATTTGGAAACCTAAATCTTTAGCGAATGTCAGGGGACAGACTGCACCAGACCGTTGAAGTTATCTGCAGATGCGAACGGGAATTCGGCAGGGAAGACACGCTCTTGTGCAATTGGAGACTCATTTTTCCGATGTATTCAAAATTGATAGGAAAAATGGGGCGCTGCTGCGAATTCTGTCAGCCGCTGTCAAGACGTGTTTTTGACCGTATACACCCGAAAAAGAGCAACTGGAGACCTTTCTCTCCATGTTCCATCAAGCCTGGCACGCGATAGTTTACACTAGAACGTTAGGATTGGAAAGCCGGGTGAGCATAAGGGGGGAAATGAATCCATACCCATGGAACGCAAACCGACCTCCAAATCGATAACGAACCAACGCCATAAAATATGCCAAACGAATAGACCATGCACAACTTCCCTGTTTTCAAGTGGAGCTGCTGCGCGTGTCTTTGAGACGCTAAGCTCTGCATAGAGTTCATGTCCAAAAAAAGCAATCGGTCTCAGAATGAATCCATGGCTGGGACCGGTGGATCTCGGGGTACTGACTGGTGCGTTAGACTTTTCCGCTGAGGGTCCAGAACACGGACGCTGCTCTGTCTCCGTTCTCTCAGCCCACCAGGGCTTGAAACTCTCAACAAATCACAGTGGAATGCCTTGCAGTGATTTGCTTCAAAACTCCAGTGTCAGACCCATTGTGGCAAAACGATCGCCCCGTACCTCCTATCATACTAACTCCAGTGGACATATTAGCACCTTCCAGGATGAGGAAAGGCCGGGGAGCCAGACCCACGGATCTAGTCCATTCTCAGCTAAAGGGCGAATCTACCTTATCACTACAGAGCCAACGGTACGCGGGGGTTGTCCGTTGAGTCCTTGGTTCCTTGAGTGAACTGCCTACGCGCCCTGTCGGACATGAACGGGTTGATCACCTAAATACCTAAATTAGGTTATTATGGAGTATACTAAACTACTTTCGCTTGCATACTAAAGAAATAACTAAAAGTAAAAAGTAGAGGAACAACTTAGATAGAGCCAGTAGACCTACTGATAACATATTGAATTAAATTTTTGAATAAAAAAGACTAACCTAGAAAGATTAATGAATAATGGAAAATGACTAAAGTAAAATAGGTATATAGATACATGGACAAAGATAATATCGGTAAAAAGCAAAGACAAGTACCGGGGTAGAAGAAGAAAAAAAAAGAAAAAAAAAAAGAAAAAGGAAAAGAAGAGAGAGAGCGAGAGAGAGAAGAAAAGGAAACAAGAAAAAAATATACAGCAAAAACAAATAGCAAAAAGACAAGCAAAACAATAAGCATCGATACAGCTCTGTCTCCCCCGACAGAGCGCAATGATTGCAAACGTTCGCCTAGAGCTTCGAAGTCTGACGCCCGAATATTTCCCCCCGGGCAAGCTTCATATGGCTCATAGTAAACGTATCATTAGCAATCGCTGCACTTGTGCTAGCATCCAAAGCAACCGCAAAGGCAGCAATCATTCCGGCCAGCCTTCGCTTTCCCGACGGCTCCGCACACCCCAGCATATCCAGACACTCCTTCTGCGATGGGTACAGCGTCCCCCCACCCACGGTACCCACCGGCAAGGAGGGAAAATACAGAGTCATTTTCAATTCCTTGGTCTCGTAATCGTATTCAGATGTGAGATGACTCCAGGAAGCCTCTGCTACACTGCCCGCATCCTGTCCCGTCGACACGAACATAGCGGCGATAATATTGGCGGTATTGATATTGCAACCGAACTGGCCATTGCGTATTCCTCCTTCCTTGAGAGCCATCTGAGTACGATATAGTCGCTCCGTGCTGCAGCCTAGGGTTTCTTGGCAGGCAGCGTTGGTAATAGTGCCCCACGCTAGCACTTCGACTCCCCTAGCTCTCTGCACGTTGCCCCAAGAAGGCTTCTTGTCCGACGCCAATTGACCCTCTATGATGAAGTCTTGGATCTGGAATTGCTTCGCACATCGGTGGCCCCGCAGCATCTCGCAGGCGTACTGGGTGGCCTTGCTGACCATATTCTGGCCCGCAGCATTGCCGCAAAAGTAGCTGCAGAAGAGATGAACGCTGGAGCCAATGACGGAAGCTTGCAGCTCCTGTAGCCGAACGTATCGGCTAGTCGACTCGGCCCATCGGGCGAACTCGTTTCGGAATGATGGGACCGCGCGCGCAAACGCTACCGCATGGGCCGGGCTGGCAAACAGAAACATCGGTGCACGAGACATGGCTTCATTGAGAACTTCAAACTGCAGGCCACCGCACGCATTGAACACTTTACAGCCCCGGCTGCAACTCGCCACCAAGGTCGGCTCACATGTAGCCAATGGTGCATAATATTCACCGGTCGTGTCAGGGCCGGTGATGCGCAGGGGCCCGGCGATCCCAACCGGAACTTGCACGAAACCAATGCAGTTTTCGATGCGGACGTGTTCGGCCTCATCGATGTGTCGTGTAAGATGTTGCAGTTGGGGGCTATCGATGTTCAAATCAAACTTGGCCCGTCCTTCTCCCCGGCGCTTGAGCGGCTGAGTCTTGGACATAATGAAGAGCTAGTGATGCGATGATTGTTTGACGTACAACTGTTGACACAGCGGATTTGAAACCTAATGCATACTTTAAATGTGTTACAGATATGCTGCTGGGAAGGCCGTTGTAGAAATAAGATGCCTTACCCCAATTTACAGTCGTATAATCATTGTCCAAGAGCTCCCTACGCCATCCTCTAGTTCTTTGCACCTGGAAGGATGATCATTGCCGACAATCACCAAATAGACTTTCCGTTTTATGGAGTCGATTACCCACAAATGTCCCGAGGATGCTTAGTCCTGGATCCTGGACCCTGGTCTAGCCACACCATTCACAAGAGGAAAAAGGTATCCGTCAACGAAGCTAGTGCAAACGCAGGACAGCAATTCTGCGAATAGCAATACAAGATGTTTAATGTTTCCGGTGAGGTGGGGCTAAGCATAAAAAGGAGTCTGAAAGATAGCGATGGGAGGTAGAACGACATGTCGCTCAAACCTTTTCATAACGCTAGGCTAACCTGCACAAATCAGTAACACTGCTTCCTTGGCCCCGCCCGTGGCTTCAAGCACCCTCGTCCTGCCCCCGGTTGCAATCGGCAGTAAAAGATTCCGTCCCAGCCTTCCAATATCTAGCGTGTCGTGCCTTGCATCTCGGAGGAGTCGGAGCCGTCTCGGAGCCGCCAAGGGGCTCAAAAATGAGTTGCAAAGGCTCCAACCGCCTTGTGATATCGTGTGTACCGTCACCTGAACCTAGTACTTCTAATTCCGTCAGTGGCTGGCGCCTCGACCATCATGTCATGCGCCACGAGCTCTACCGAGCCTCTGAAGGTCAATGCAGATCATCGAGTGTAGGATTGATGGCTATCACCAACGGTTCCAGCCATGCGCGTTTTGGTACCATGGTCAGTAAAGACATTGGCCCGCCCGGAGAGCTTATCTTCGTTGTCTCACTGGTATATTTCGACCCAAAATTGAACCGTGTCTTTCCATAGCATTTGGTACTGAGATTAAGATTTAGATATTGAGCTTCCTCTTTCGGACACTGAAGAGCTATTACAAAGCCCTGACTAATACGAGGGACCCCGTCTCGACTGAAGATGCTCCAATTCGAGCCATATTACGTTGGCTTTGATTGACTATTCCGCCTGGTTTAGTTGGGGTAGGGTGGCCCCCAGTGCACTCTATAGACTGTGTTGGTATTATTCAGACTATCCATCTTTCTGGCAAGACATAACCAACACGGTGGCAATGCTGCCCGAGAGCAACACCATATTAGGTTTTGGAGTTATATCCGGGTAGATCGTGGGGCTGGTACTATAACGGCGTTCCCCGATCTCGGGCGACCCAAATCCATGTTTTATTGATTGATGTTCCTTGGTACGCCTTCCACACGTGTTCACCAGCCAACGCAACGGTTCTCGGGATCCAACAATGTCTATTGTATCGGGAGTCAGAAGAAGTAGATCGGGCTTGTGAAAGAAAGCAAGGAGGCGGACCGAAGATTGATCGACGGCTGAGACATTGTCACTGAAGAGAACAAGGTTGTTCTTTGCCACTTCTCTTGTTCTAGGAAGCTAAGCAGACCACTTCAGGTTACCCAAAAAAGCGCTGCTCTGCCAAACACCAAACGATTTACACATGTACTATCAGTAGTCTTCAGAGGTAGAACCGAACTTGTGTTTAGAGAGAATAGTGCTTGAATGTAAATCAACGATCTGATAATGTGATATCAACATAGAAAAGAACAAATGGCAGTACCAGGAGTAGCCTCCACATGAAAGAATATACAACAATGTAACTGGAACGGCCAGTTCAGCTAGCATACATCGCTCCCTGACTGGGATGGTGTATATCTTCACCTTCAGTCAAGCCAAAAAAACCACTATCACAAGCAAATTTAAAACAGGTAAGTAGCTCTCCATGCGACCTTAGTTCGCACTACCTGCCTCTTCTAGTTCGCATTAGCATCCTGCATCAGTAGAGCAGTAGAGGTGTAACTCACCTGGAAGTAAACCTAGCTTCTCTATTATGCACTCGTCGTCATCCAGGTCAGATAACTCCATATTCTCTATGGCTCGTGCCAGCTCTGGAGTTATGTCTCTGCGAAACAGCCCGCCTAGACCCCCGAGACCCCCTAAGAGGTTACCAATACTACCAAGGCCGCCTGCGGCATTACCGATAAGGCTTGTGAGATCTCCAAGTCCACCACCAGCGTCACCTGCAGCACCAGCTAGGCTACTGAGCCCCTTCACCCCTTCGCCGATCAGGTTGGTCAGATCACCGAGATCACCACCTCCTCCACCACTACTCTGGCCTGCTTTGCCGCTCTCACCACCGCCGCCAGCAGCCCCAGCAACAGTGCTGATGAGCTTGGTAACCCCTTGTATACCCTGTCCTATCAGGTTCGCAAGATCGCCCAGCCCGCCTCCAGCAGCGCTACCACCACCCGATTGCCTCCGGGGGCAGGTGCTTGAGGGGGAGCGCTGGGGGCGGGAGCTGCCAATGCCTTGACATCGCCGATGACCTCGGATGGGGCGGAAGGGATCACACTGTTAGACTGACGCCGCTCGAACGTTTGGGTAGCGCTGCCAAGATGGACGTAACGAGGGTAAGGATAACGAAGGCCTTCATGGTTGGATGAAGCTCTTTACCAGAAGTGCAGAAGTAAATCAAAGAGAGAGAAAGCGAAAGACTGGAGCACAGCTCTGAAGGTAATATAGCTTAGAAAAGAATGAATGACAAACAGAGTATTGTTTGGTATACTGATATACAGGAAGGGAGAGTATTTTATACTATCTATCAACAGTCAGACTCAAAATTCGGTCTTCGTATTGTTGACCCCTCAATATAAAATATCGGTTTCATATCCTCCAAGGTTGTATTTGTCTCCTAGGACTGCGTTTAGGGTACAGGTACACAGTGAATTAGATACGCCACAGTTGATCTGTATGGGAAAAGAAAGCCAAAATGAGGTGCAGATCGTGTTTCAATATTAGATGGGGTTAACCTTTCCCCACGGACCCTACATAATGGAGTATGCGTCGGTGCACAGCTGGATAACACCACAGCTGAGCACCTACAAGCTGTCTTACCCTGACAGCCAACAGACTTACAGTCACGCACGTGCTTGAGCCACTGCTTGATAGCTCGAACCAAACCCGCCTTTCTGTAAGGCACCATGACCCAGCGTTCGGCGATGTTTCAGGATGAGACGGTATATGTACGACATGGCTGCCCTGGCCCAGTAGACCGAACTTAATATGACTGATTTTCGTGATCGATGTGCGTGATGCCGCTAGAAAAACGTTGACCATGTGGCAAGTAGAAGCATCCTGTATAGATCGTCGTTTTACACCAGTTCTTTAAAGTTTATAGGGCTCAGTCTCGGGGGTCGCACGGTTCTGAGCGTGGTGTTTGTTAGCGGTTGTTTGATTTGAAGTTGATGGAAGGGTTTACATCCTCTGTCATTGTCAAAGACACTTTCTGTTTCTCACATGCACAATGCTCCCCCTTTTTTTGCGACTGTAGTTCGGGTTTCGGATCGCGAAGTAGGTGTCAATGGATTGTAGTTATCCACAAAAGGTCCTTGCTCCCGACTGTAACAACGATGAGTGTGGATGGGATCAAGAAGATAGCCACGGTTAGTGGTATTTCAACATATCCTAACATTCAGTGATAATAATAAACGAGAATCAAGGTGTCAAGGGTGTCGTGCATTGCGGAATTGATTCAACAGTTCGACAAATGACTGACATAAGCAGACCATTTACCGACTGCTTCCACGGCATTTTCAAGAGGTTAGGGTTGTTCTACAGCGAGGCGAGGCCTGCATATCTTTTTTACCATCTCGATATATTATCATATCTGGGCATCCTGTGTTATCTTATCTTTTGTTCTCTCCCCTTTTTTTCTCTTCTCTTTTCTCCCTTTCGATCATCCCTGGCTCACTGCCCCATCTCCGTTGTCTAGGCTGTCTAGACTCTGATTTACAAATAAGATATTGGTAGACATTGGTCAGCGGTTAGTTGCAGGGTGCGTAGATGTACGGTTTGTGAACGGCCACGATCCATGAATCGTAGCAGTACATTGGTGCATACTGTGTGAATCAAATGATTATTACTGGATGTCAACTGGCAGCCGTAGCCCTAATCTTGTCCATGGTTCTGTAGTCCAAGTATGGAATGCCAAGCCCACAGGAATTGACTATCAGATACTAAACAGTTGGACTTGAACTCAATCCCCTCAGGCCCCACTCCAATGCAACCCTACCAACTAGGCTTTTGACAGTTAGTTTGAATCCTACTCGTTGGTTCATAAAGCACTAGCTCAGGAAGGGATGCTCTGCGAACTGCTGCCCAAACAGCTTGATAAGGCAGACGAGTCTTCAGATCGATGTTATATAGCCTACAACGCAAGGAAAAGGGGCTAACTATGCTGAATAAGGCTCAAAATTTCCCCCTGAAGGAGAAAAAAAAAAAAAAAAAAAAGAAAGAAAGAAAGAAAGGAAATGAAAATTTAACAATAGGATTTACCGTTTAACTCTCCGGAGCTAGATTTAATTCTCCGGCTCTTCGAACCGGAGACCCCGGTCCGGTTAAACCATGGTCCAGCCCAAAAAACCGTTTGTAGTGAATAACCAATTTTTGGCTTCCTCTGCGAGTCTCCTTTCTCGTAGGCCCCCGTTAGGAAACTTTAACTGCAGAGGGTCTACACTGTCTACTACGTACACTAGTACACCGGCGCTCCACGGATCCACCTCACGATAGTATCCACAATCACCTGACAGCGTCATATGGCATGATGGTTACATTTGATGTGTCATTGGACCTCACAAGTCCCTTTCTGGTCTGGAATTGTGGGTATCGGCAGAATAGTTGATGGCTTACTAGCGGGAAACTCAGACGCCATCTCCCCTGTGGTGCCCTAGTCGAGGTCTCCACTGACGTACGAGGCTACTATCCTAGGCCTTCTCCAGAGGTGATCATGTTCTCTCCTTGGTTGTTCTTCCGAGCTGTGATAGCCTAGTGTCGGTGATCCTTACTAACTGCATATGGAACCGCTATCTCCCCTGTAAGTAGGTACCGATATGTTAGACTAACGTATCACCTTTTTTGGGCCCTCCAGATTCTTCATATGTCAAAATGCACTTACTGGATGGGTGCCAACGGATGGTCAAGATATTGATAACCTGAAACGGGCCAAACTAGGTTTCGACTAGCCGTACGTTGTGGAAGTTAGTTATCGGAGGATTTTATTGGCTTCGCGTGTTGATGATGAAACAGGGTATCGCGTCAATTACAGGACTGAGACGCCTTCTCGGCTTTCATAGCTGCACGCCCCACGTAAGCAGCGCCTGAGTAAAAGAGCTGGGAAACGCTTATGTCCATAATTCGTGCATCTCCCCTGCCAACGGGGCTAGCAAGGACCTGGCCCGATCTGAGAGTTGTATTTATATAAGCGTTCGTTTAGTCATGCCACGCAGCGGAAGATTTTCCGGCGCTAGGGTGCACACTTTCGCTTATTCTCCTTAGCGATCGGCGTGATATAAATGGAAAGACACAGCTACCAGACCCGAAATGGTTAACACGACCAGTCTACATTTGGTGAAACAGGATGGTTGCTAGAATTAGATATCTCCCTGAACAATGACGCCTAGCCTCGATATGGCTAGTAAAACGTAGATAACAGATCCTTGGACCTCGATAGTTACTCCCGGAAGTACGGCATTCCAGCAACGAACCTGCCCTGGCAATTGTTGCCCCTTTATGCCCGTTCATTTAGGACCCACAGGTCACTCCCGTGATGATTGTACACCATCACCGAGGCACGTTTCAATCTTCTCATCTGTAGCCTACAGGAATAGAAAGATCGACACAAAAGTGATGCGATATCGCTACAGGAACTATCGACAAAAATGGAACAGGGAAACATTGGCGAGATCCAGTTAGCGCCCGAAGGATCAGTCGAAGATTTTAGATTTCAATAGTACAGTCCGCCACTTGTGGTATCTACTACTATCTCATTTCCCTGGTCGAAGTGGGCCTTTTTCTGAAGAGCTTGGCTTGCTAAAGAAAAAATGGACAGGGGAACGAAAACGAATCAGTGAGGGCAACGCATGGACCGTAGAAGCGCTAGGACAGTATCCTTGAAAAGAGAAGTTAGGAACTAAAGGTCAGTTGGAGATGTGCCCTGGGGAGTAGGAGAGGCAATAACCGAACGGTAAGAGTGGAAGATATATCACATTCTGCCTGAGGCATCACAGGCTTGGACATGCAAACATATAGATCATATGTAAGGGGTTAAAGATTCGATCCAAGAATCCTTTAGAGATCTGGCTTTCTGCCAAATCTGAAAATGCCCCATATTGCGCTGCGTTCTTGTTCAAGATCCCCTTCCTGCAGGATGAGCTAGTTAGGGCATCAAGAAACGCTGACACTACACATCCACTGAGTAACACTTCGGCACACAAAGGCAGAAATCTGCCTTTGAACATCAGTTTTAATATTTAGCCTCGAGTCTCTTACCTATAATACGTAGACACATGAATAGCCGTCGCTCTGTTTTGTTTCACGGTAGCTATGATGCTGGGCGTGTTGAATATAATCCCCGTTGTTCTGGCATTTCAGTTGCTATGCTCGGCAATATTGGCTCAGGGGCGCTTTTTGAAAGCCAGGTGTATGTATCAGACAACCACTTCTGTTGTAAAAGTAGTGAAAACACCCACTAACGGTCATGAGTTTACAGCTATCCCAGATGAAGATCTGGCCGAATTTCAACTGTTTGCGCAGTACTCTGGTGCGGCCTACTGCGACCATAACAACGACGACGGTATCCTCGGAACTATACGTTGCGTGGAAGGGGTGTGTCCCCTAGTCGAAGCTGCTGGTGCCAGTACCATAGCAGAGCTCAATAAGGAGGACATCCGCGGCTTCGTTGCTGTGGACGACACCCATCGACTTCTTATCGTATCGTTTCGCGGCAGCAATTCAGTGCGGAACTGGGTTAAAAACTTCCAATTCTGGAAGATAGACGAGCCAGGACCAAGGGGATTCTGGGACAAATTGTTCGGGTCAGACAAGCCTCAGCAAGGAAACGATATTTGTTCCTGTGCGATACACTCTGGATTTTATAGGTCATGGGAACTACTGAAAGATGATGTTATGGACGCACTCACCCGGGCTAGAGAGACATACGGTGATTATCATGTGGTCGTGACTGGGCATTCTCTGGGAGCAGCCATTGCCACAATTGCTGGTGCTTATCTTCGCACGAAGCAGATACCCTGCGATATATATTCATATGGTTCTCCACGTGTGGGGGATGCCCGGTTTGCAGACTTCGTCTCAACTCAATCAGGGATCACAGCCCGGATAACTAACGGATATGATCCGGTACCTTCCCTACCACCAATGAGTCTGTTTGGGATATATGATCTGGGTTATAGACATATCTGGCCTGAGTACTGGATCTCGAGTTCATCCTCAAATAGGTCCGACACCATCCAGGTATGCCGTGGGCTGGAGAATCTATCATGCAATGGAACACGCCAAACAGGGCTCAGCTTTGAAATTGAAGATCATCGACAGTACCTCGGACATATAACGGCATGCGGTCCCAAGTTCACGTACCGGGATATGGAGGACAGCTGGAGCGCAAAGGATCTGGATCGTCTCAGAATGCTAGCAGGGAACGACAACCTCTTCGCAACCAATTTCATTTCGAAAGCCGGCGCTTAATCGTACATCTGTTATACCCACCTGAGTTTGGATCATCAAGGAGGGCTACATGTCTTGGCCATAATGACCTTTTGCATTCTGACACTTGCGGCCTTCCAACCTCTGTGTCATTCAACTATAAGGCATGTGGTTGACAGGACGAACCTCTATATTTATATAATGTATAATAGTCAATCCATCTGGCGTGAACAGTTTTCAAGCCTTTTACCGCAACTTTATCAGAGCTATCTATCTTATCTCGCATTTATATATTTCCAGATATCTGTATATTACACAGGACAGGAACAGGGGAATATCGTGTCACCCAAGGATACGAGTTTTCCCGGTGTGGTGGTACCAAAGCATCCATCCGATTATTCGCAAGAAACATTGCACACGAACATGTGGTTGACGGTATTCGGGTGAGTAGAGTTTCTCCAGGGTATATACTCGCTACGAACCAAGCTCTTATGGCTACGTCGGTATTCTAACATTCTCTGATCCAGGCATTGCAACACATATGGACCTGGCTATTGCTCCCATCGGCTGGATCTATTTCAGATCTTTTGTGAGGCTTCTGGCCTTGGTCGAGCTTATAGCTCTGAAGACTCGGAGATGGCGGCATTGTATTTACTAAGTGATGGATCATGATACATAACTGGTCAAGGTCAGGCTGTGCACAGAGATAAGTCGCTTCGGAATGCGTCAGGTCCAGGCTCCAGCTCAATAATGAATAAGTCTAAGATAGCACGTGTTATGCCTAGGCCATCATGATACCCTATGTTGTATATTTTTAGACTATTAACATGCGCACAGGTATCAAAGCCTTGCTATGGACGGAAGATATTTTTCATGCACACAGCTAGCACAGACAATGCCCTCCATAGTCTCCATCACGGCGCGAACTGTAGCCATCCTCTTCCCCGCCTCAATGACTGTACAGGTGATTTTCACTCTTACACCTGCAGGCAGAGGGCGATGGAACCACACTCCTAATGAGCGGCTCACCCCGAGACTCTCCCAATACCCAGGCTTCCCAATGGTAAATAGTGATGTTGAGCTGAGGTTGTCAAAGAGGGTTGATGCAGCTCCACCGTGCAAGACACGATCCTTGTTGCACATGTGGTCAGCGACTTTGAAGTGGAATGTCGTAGTTCTTGAGTGAACTTGGGCGCCGACGTAGGTAACCGCGGCTATCATTTGTGTGTCAAATCCAGAGTAATCGGCGTCCGATGCGACACTGGCCAGATAGGCACGAATGCGGCCGTCTAATGATAAACTGAAGTCTGTCTTTCGATACGCATCTTGAGCCATGCTTGAAACGACAAATGACTAGTGCACGTTACGTTCAGCGTAGTCCACATTGACAATCAGCAGGAACCGTAACCTACACTTCGTGGGATATACGGGGTCTGTCACTTGGCAGTCTTTGCACACTTGTTGATTAGCCTTACTTGACTATATAGCTTGTCATGTCCCTTCCTTATGTCATCGACCGGAATCATATTTCCGGTCCAACTGAGGGCCCGTTCCAAACTTTCTGATGGAAAGTATCATCTCGTGAAGCTGTTCTATAAGGCTACGCCTGAGTAACTGGCGAATACTACTACTACGATGAAGTTCCTGTTGCTTTCCCTTCATTCTCCCTTCGAATACCATTCTCGTCGAATTCGATCTTCCTCCCTGTTCTCAAGCTTTCCTGCAGAGCAAGTGCTATCTGCAGCCCAGAATATGCGGCTTTCAACCGCATAGGAAGCGCCTTGTCGTCTAAAATCGCATCCGAAAATCGGCTCAGCTCCGTTACAAATGCTTCACGATACCTATCTATCCATCCGGGGGTCGCATCCTGCACAATGCCCGAGCAATTCGATATCTGCACTCTGTTGTTGTGCGGTACGAGATTGATGGAGACTTTGCCTTCTGTGCCGATAATTTCAGTACAGTTGTCGTAACCATGGGCGGTAGTGCGCGAGTGATAGTAGTATGCGATCTTTCCACCCCAGAACTCTACCACACCTACTGCATTATCTGCATCCTGACAATCTTTCAGCTCATGGTGGTGTGCTATCAGACCTGTTGCCCACAGAGCCCTTGGCTTGATATCCTCGCCGAGGAATGATAAAGTAAGATCGATGTCATGCACGACTGTATCGACAAATATCCCGCCGCTTTGCCGGGCATACTCAATGAAAAACCCTGACTTGTCAAGTTTCTCGGCCCCTTGTGAGCGCACCACAATTGGATCACCAATGGCACCTTCCCTGATCTTTTGAAGGGCTGCTTCATACTGCTCATCGAATCGTCGAACGAACCCGACCATAACCTTTGTGCTTGGGCTTCTCTCCGCGACCTCAATCAGTTCTCGCAACTACAACCACAACGTGTTAGCCTCCTGACCCACATTGCCCTAGGCGAAGAAAGGATAGATAGAGCTCACTAATGAGAGGTCTGTAGTCACAGGCTTCTCGCACAGCACGTGAACTCCATGCTCAATTGCAGCCAGGGTATGCTCGATGTGTAAAGCTGTAGGCGAAGCGATCACCACGGCTTGTAAACCCGTCGTGCGAATCATCTGGTGGTAGTCGGTAAATATTGTGACTGCTTCAGGCTGTAGATACTCCTTCGCCCATTGAATCTCATGCGGGGCGACGGAGCACACACTATGGAGTCGCGCGCGAGGAACATGATGTAGGATATTCAGCGCATGGCGTTGCCCCATCCGGCCCAAGCTACAACACCAATGTTGAGTTTTGTTGATGGAGCAGCCATAGCTGGTTTGCAGGGTCCTACTCAAAATCTTGGACTTTCGGGAGCGATTGTCTGGTTTTATTGCGAGAGGATCTAGAATATGACCGTGAGCGCTTGAGAATGAATCGAAGCCAAGCGCACTACTGGAATTTGAATCCCGGAGGACAACCACCATTAATAATCAAGGTCTATGCACCTGGCGGGGTATGCAGGATATGCAGGATCATTGTGGTCTGGACTTTGATAATTTCTTGTCGTCTACATCACTGGCGACCCTAATGCTGCAGTTCAGTTATGCGGATTGTTCGTGATACCGGGAGACAATGCGAAAGAGGCCCTTCTTAGCCTATCGTGTGAGTTTCGAATTGTCTGTTATTTATTTACTTAAATAGCCTCGCCGGTCGCATAGGGAAGCATGATTGGTCTATATCTAAGTTAGATACCTTGTGTTCCAAGTGGCTGTAACACTACTGGCAAAATGGAATACACTGAGTCATTGAGGTATTGCTATTAGCGGAGAACTTGTTGCAATCCACAAATTTAACGAACTCCGTTACATAATTGCAGTCCTATTTCTCATGCTAAACCTACCAAACTGAATCTAATGAAACGTTGGTATGATCTTCGCCTCGACCATGCGATCAAACGCCGTTGTGTATCCCTCGATGGTAGCGATGGACTCCCTAAAGCCAACAGCACGGGCGTTCTCCAGGGAGAATTCCCTGTCGAAATCAAAATCAACTAGCATAAACCGAGTGTGTCCCCAATTCTGGTGCTCAATAATCCCTCTCTTCAACCCATGTCTCTCCGTCAAACGATCCCAAGTAGGACGGTGCTCACGCACAAATTCCTCCATGTTGACCCGGTCGTCACGGGGTTCAGTGCCAACGAGGCCAAAGTAGGAGCAAATACCAGGCCATACCTGCGCCCAGGATACCGTCTCGCCGTCCGCGCTGTTAAATGATGACCCATTCGGACACTTATCCCGGTTCAGGGAGGCAAATATCTCCATCTTTGACAGGATGTCTTGAAAAGTGTCGCTATGTGTAGATCGGTATCCGTGCGGCTTGCCAGGGAACGAAACGGTTGCCCCGGCTCCATAGATCTCCCGATAGAGAGTTAGATAGAAAGCGATTCCATACCCCATATTCATGGTATTCCGGCCGGGAGCAAATCCCACGATGCCATCAGGTCGGATTTCCGAAAAGGTCCACGTGGCGCCCTTGGACAGCTCCATCAGGAGATCATACTGGTCGTAGTAGAAGATGTTGCTTCTCCAGGGCTCAGGGATCCGAGGCATTTGCTCATGGAGAGGCGGCTGGATGTTGATCTCTTTGGGAAATTCCAGTCCGTAGCTTTTGCCGCCAGTCTGCAGGATAACGGCCTCGAGGTTGGGCGCGACAGCACTGATGGCAAGGATGGCGGTGCGCAGAAGCTCAGTGTTGGACTTTTTCAGGGATTCGAAGTCGCGTGTTTGAATGTATGCTATGCAGATCATTAGAGGGGCGGGGTTTTGGTAAATCTGGATCATCCTTACCGCAAAAGAACACGATATCAACTGTTTCTATCCCCTCAACTTTGGACTTCAGTTGATCGACGACCGCCTCCACTGACTCGGTCAGGTCGACCCCGGGCACGATATTAAGGCGCCGATCATCGGGAAGGAGTGTATCTTCCTTTGACAAGGGTCGATTACACAGGCCAGTTATGCGTCGGAAAGTTGTTGGAGTCGGATACGTGAGAGTCTGGTTCATAAGGGACCAACCCGATATCCCCGACGCGCCAAAGATTAGAGCGTACTTACCGGTAGCTGACATAGTTGAGTGATGGTGGCTTGATTATCGCGTTGATTCATATTCTCTGTTTCGTATATCAATCTGGAGCATATTTATTCCTTTGTCCGGGATTGATTTCCCGATATCCATTCCGCGCATTAGTAATTCTTCTCTAAGAGGCATATGAAGCATATGCGGAATGGCGGAAAGACTGTTAGTTTGATACGATTAATTAATAATGATTTGGTGCTTCGTGAAAGGGGGCCTACGCCGCAACTAACACGGAGATTTATCGACTTGACTGGTAGGTCAATTCGAGGCTACTCACTAGTCCATATAGCTACTATGGCAATGTAGGACTGTCTGATTAAATCCAGCCTACATGAAAGAGTTAGATGCACGACAGGATACGGCGCCAGAAGGGAAATGGGTTTATTTAGAGAACTGCCAACAGTTTCGGCATCAGCCTAGGCGAAGCAAAGACATCCATCTCTGGTACAGGAAGTTGGTAGGCTGAGCTCACAGAGTGACTTCGTTACTCCCCCCGACCGCAACACCGACGCAAGACAGCTTTCACGGAGATGCCCCCTGCTGGGAGCGAGCAGTGGACTCCCACAAAGCAGGTGCTAGGCCTACCATTTTGTGCTACTACTATTCCTCGGGAAGATGAGCAGATTCCAGAGCTACCTACTGGCTTAAATGGGCGGCGTTTGAGGAAGCTGATTTAATTATGAAACTATCGCAGGAATATACGGTGAACGGCTGCGCTTTCTCCCATGTTATACTGTCACTGGTGCATAGAAATTCCCCAAGGCTCGTGCCCCCGTCCTCTCCGATCACTACATTGTACGTACTGACTTTAAGATCTTCCCATTTTAAGCTCCTCCCATTTATTCATATGTCGCTCGATGGTCTCCCCCAGTCCTGACGCATTGAGAATCTCTGCAAGCCTGTAATGGCAGTCTAGGAGGGTGTGGTTCGGGAGGGCGAGTTCTTGGGCATCTTTCGCTTTCTTCAACTCAGAACTCTCCAGGAACATTCCTCTCTCCCTTGTCGGGAATCTGCGGAAGTACTTTACTTCATATTTGTTTTCGACATCCTAATCATATCTCTCTCTGTTAGCAAAACCGAGAAATGGTATATCCATTCTACTGTTAGCTACTCACAATAGGCTTAAGAACGACATTGAAATTTCTAAATTTGTGGTGGACAGACCGCCGGAGTGTCAAGCCATTAGAAGGATCATTGATATTATCGACAGAAAGAGCCGCGCGCCGTACTCCAGGAAAGAAACGATAGAGAACTTCTCAAGCTGTTGCACGGTCAAATGAGGGAGTCTAGACTTTATAAGTATATGAGCATCCATACACTAAGAATATATTACCATTGAGTTTTCCCAGGAAGCATATGAAAATGGGATGATATGGGCTCCTTCTGTAGGAGCGAAATAAATCTCCTCCGGACTGCCAAGCTCTCCCAGTGGCCAGTGTCCATGTCGCCAGTTAGAACACATTTATAACTATCACGTCGTAGGCAACGGTCGTGGAATCCCGGATGACGAGCATTGGACTTATTAAGGATCCTAGCTATATCCTCAATGTTATTCTGCCTGTTTGGATGGGGAGAGCCTGTAACAGTTGATGGTTTAGAATGAGCTTTCCCTGATCCCAAGGAGTAAGTAGTGACCTCTCATCAAAGAAGTCAATATTGTCCAGGCTTACTAGGAATTGCAAGGCCTGTGAAGAGACCGTGAAAGACTTGGTACAGATCATCGTCCGTAGTTGCGTTTATGCAATCTCTCGCAATAGATTCTCGACCGCCTTCCGGTAACCAGTCGACGAGAGCATATAAGGAAGATTGAACTTTCTCGTCGAAACGTCGATTCTGGGCTGATATTGTGCTATTCTTCCCCTCCCTTTTGCTGCCACGAGCGGCCAAGATTCGTGAGACTCGCTATCGGTGGATATATTCGATAAGAATCTCGGCGGCTGCGGTGGTGAACTTTTTGGCTTAAGCGGCGATTTTCGACTTGGGCCGGAAGCCGATGGAGATGCTGGTCGTGTAAGGTTTCTGCGAGGCATAATGAAATGAGGGTCAAGCCTGTGAGCTACTAGTAATCTATCGTGTGTTGGGCAGTCACCCGTACGTCATGGTCCAGACCTGGTTCATGTATAGCCCTAAATATCGCACCATCCGCACAGCTATTGTCACCTTAGCTGGTATTGACGGTAAACATGTGGTGCTCACTACTTGCAGGGATCGGATTAAGAGAAGTACTAGCACTGCCAAGGGAGTTGAATGATGCCTTTCGAGAAGAGCATGCAGAAACGGAGTCTGAAGGGAAAAGAAAACGCGTGGAGCCAGTGTAGGCTGAGAAACTTCTCGGAGGAAGACTTTTCTCACTTTCTGTTACTCACTACCAGAAGATAATCTTTCACTGTCCATCTCTTCACCCCTGTTTCCTTTTTCACCTGCATCAAGGCATCTACCGTTGATGGTCAGTACTAGTAGTATAGAATCGATACCCCCTGCATTGGGGCTTGACTGCTTGCTTACTAGGTGTTGAACCGACCTTTCTAATACTCTTAGGCTTCTTTTTGGTTCGTTGTGTGTACATTCTCTGTGAAATCGGCCTATAAACAGCATAAATAGGCTCCAGATAAATCATTGCATCAAGATTTGTGCATTTAGATTCAGAGAGGTTCCATGTAAGAGGGTCTACATATTCCAGTGTGGTACGTATTGCTGTACCGTTTGCGACATCACGTTTCCCAGTGAATGGAAAAGGAGCGGCAAGATGCATATTCACTGTGATCATGTCTTTGTTATTCTTTGTCCTGGGTTCCTGCTACTCTTTCTGTTGTGGCAATCAAGCCAGCCAAACGCCCCCTCTCTTCTTCTCTTTTGGTCTTTTCCTCGCTCTTCCTCTCATCTCACTCCTCGGTCTCTCTCTGACTGCCTACTCGTTGCATGCTATCGAATATCCCCCTCCACTGACATCTCAAGGCTCTCAGTCGCATCCTCAGAGACCAGACCTTTGAAACCTACTCCCATTGTCCAGCAACTTACGTGCCTCAATCATCTTTTTAAGAGAACCACGATGGGTCGCTGGGGCTGGCGTTCGTCTTGCCGTCATCACTGTCACTTTTACCTAGATCTACAACTTGACTGACCTCTCTTCTTTGCTAGGTCTTTTTGAGGGTGATCAGGATATGGATGCCGCCTGTAGCCTGGCAGAACCCCTGGGGTTTCAAATGGACGATTGGGAGCACACAATGAGCTCCATGGTGCACCAGACCGATATGCTGGCTGGCGCGGCGGCACGTGCGTTCTACAGGACCGAAGAGTACAAACAGGAGCTAGAGAGCGCGATCGTGCCCTACGTCCGCGCGAAGCTCGACACCGACAACCTTGGCGACCGGCTCTTTGCAGCTGCTCGTGCGCAGGAGAACAACCCAACGCTCCCTTCTACTAAATACAGAACGATCATCCTGGGTGCGCTGATGATGCGGGCTGGCGCGAGGATCAAGCCGGCCGACTTGCAGCATCTGCGAGACCTGATCCCGCAGATTCAGTGCAACGCGCAGTTTGTCCTGCCTCTCGTTGACGAGGGCTTTCGTAGTCCCGGGAGGGCCCAGTTTCTCGCTGCTCTTGACCACTACCAGGTGGGCGTGCCACGCAACTATCAGGAGCCAAGGTAAGGCTTCACTCTTTGGGTGTGGGTTTGGGAATGAAATTTTGCGCTAATCACCGTTGCAGCTGTTTTCAGTGTGGACAGGTCAGGGATGATATTGGTCACGCCTTGGTTCAGTGCGCAAGATGCCATGTTGCATACTACTGCGATAAGGTGAGAATATGCATATCCCATCAGTCATTTGAAATCTATTGCTGATCCTGCGTAGGAGTGCCAGCGCCACCATTGGCAGGAGCACAAGCCAAGCTGCGTTAGCCCTGAGCAGCGCAGGACGGCTAACGTCTAGAGTGAACCTTTCTTCATTGGTAGCTCATCTGGCCTGCAGCTCGACATCAGCATTCTAGGAATGGTGTCGGTGCTCATGACGTGTCGTCTAAGCGATTTCTGTCACCTCTGGACCTCTGCTGTATGTTCCCTGCCGGCGATACGTGGTCATCTGGGGTTTCAGTTTATTGTACCTATTGCTCCCAGCCTTTCATCGTCCCTTTTTCAATTTGAAAGGGTGGAATCCTCGTATTTGAATGTATTCCACGTATACCAAATCCTAAGGAAGCATGAGCTTCGTTTTTGTTCAAGTTGTTCCGTAGGTTGAGAGTGGGGCTGACTGTGTTGATTAGTAAGGTAGAGTCCTCCAATCACGAATCTTCTCTCCTTGTCATTTGTTGTTGTTGTTCCATCCTCATCCTGCCATGAGCTCTCATTCATTCCCAATATCTCGCAACCTGATTCCGCCCGTCTTAACTGTTTTCCAGCTGTGGATGACTGGGTTGGATAAATGGCGTCTATTTGGCGAGCTCTGACGAAAATCATTCGGCGAACGCGACCGTCTTCCAGAGAACGCTCTACCTTCGCGCACATTATCCCTACGGAAACCCCGGTCGAAGAAGAGACATTACCTCATTACAAACCAGCGCATTACTATCCGGTGAAAATCGGTGATGTATATCACACCAGGTATGAGGTTATGGGGAAGCTTGGATATGGGGCATATTCAACGAGCTGGCTCTGCCGGGATCTCCAGTGCGCCACTCCCAGTCCAATTGATCCTCAAGGGGCTCTCACGAGTTATCAATCAAGAGCCAAGAGCTACACATTATTGAAGGTATCTACCTGCTTACCAGATTATCCTACTGCGACAGATCGCGAATTAAGGGTCTATGAACACCTGGCAAATGTTGATTCTCCGCATCCAGGTCAGTTATTGATCCGTGAGCTATATGATTCATTCAACCTACAGGGTGCTTGGGGCACGCATAGGTGTCTCGTGTTGCAGCCGATGGATATGACGCTTCTTGAAATGATGGCCATGAATCCCAGGCCTTTTGATCTCCCTCTACTGAGAATGACTGTCAGGCGACTTCTATTGGCGCTTGATTTCTTGCACGCGGAGGCTGAGGTTATTCATACTGGTAGGGGCTTACGTGCTTTGAACGTTGAACTGAGAACTGATTTCCACTAGATTTGAAGACCGACAATCTGATGCTCAGCCTAGAGGATAACTCCATGCTGGGGGACTTTGTAACAGCGGAATCCGAAACCCCAAGCCCTCAGAAGTTGATTGACCAGTCACGTATCATTTATAGCAGTCGAAAGTTTCGCAGGCCCACCGAAGCCAGAAACTACGGTCTCCCAGTCCTATGTGACTTTGGTGAGGCAAGAATTGGTGAAACGCAGGAGTCAGGGCCTTTCGTCCAACCACGCATATACCGGGCGCCTGAGGTCATTTTCGAAATGCCCTGGGGAAGTGCTATCGATATCTGGAATCTTGCAGGCCTTGTGAGTCAGGTGCTACCAGTGTTTCGTGTTGCTGCCTTGCCTTGCTGATGCATCATTAGATTTGGGATCTGTTCGAAGGGCAGCATCTGTTTGGAGATATATTCGATTCCACGGGTAGCCATGATCCGTTTAGGCATTTGGCACTTATGGTAGCCTTGATTGGGCCGCCGCCATCCGAATTCGTGCGGCGTAGTGAGACGACGAGCCAGTGCTTTGATTCCAGCGGTTGGTACCCGCTTCCCTCGCATTACATACCCTTTCCTATTGATTCTGAGACTGACATAGTTGCAGGTGGCTGGATCGCTCATACTGAAGCCCCTGTACCCTCTGTTTCATTGGAGGCCCTGGAAAAGCGGCTCGGCGGCGAGGAGAAAGAGTTATTTTTGGCATTCGTTAGGTCGATGTTACAATGGATGCCGGAGGAACGCAAGACAGCCAAACAGCTTCTTGAACATCCGTTCTTGCTCTAGCACCGCCTTAGCCCAAATGGGGACGTGTCGCACAAATTGTACACTGTGAATAAACACCAGGGAGCTCCTTCCAGGTCTCTTCTTCGTCTGGTGTTTCCTCTAGCGGACCTGTGGAACCATCCTATACTTACCTCCCAGGCGCCCTCGGAACGGGATAAAACGAGCGGCCCGGACTCACAGAGGGAGCCGCATACTGAAAATCATACGTTAAGTTAGTTTGGCAACTACTTTGTGGGGGGTGCAGAAATATGCAGTGATGGCAGCACTCGGTCATTGCTAGTGGAGAGAGCTCGGTCGTACAGCTTGCCCTTTGTGTCTAGTCTGACATATATCACCAGGGGTGGACAGTGAAACTTTGCGTGGTGCCGTTCGTACCAGTGGTATCGATTGTTGGCACTCAGCACCTGGATCGCAGCAAAAGCAGGAAGCATTTTTTTATCTCTCTCGTTGACCGTTTCAGGCCCTCCCTGTCCCTTGACCGCGCGCGATGGTCAACAATAGGGTCAGCTTTGTGGGGTAACCCAGAACTGCTAATCGTCTAACTCCCTACAAGACTAATCCTCACCAGCGAACGTACAGAATATGCGAATCTGAAGAAGCCAGATCTACTCCGCGGCCTTTTCCCCCTTTTTCCGGTCAACCCACTCACCAGACAGAATCTCATCCCGCAACCAACTAGTTAGCAAACACGTCGTCCCCGGTCCAAGCAGGAGAGAGGTCCCAAAAGGAGCGGGGAGGAACCACGGCCACCGGAAGGCTCCACCGCGCGGCTGGATAGTAGACCAGGCGCCTTGCAGCTCGAGGGCAACCACCTCCATCCCCACCAGATAGGCGATTAACTCATCCCACAACAGGAATCCCCTGACCCCACCGCCGGGAGTGATGGAAGGGGGCAGGGCCAACGGGGGTAGGAAGACGGTGGGCGGGTGCAGCTCTGCGTGATAGGCCGGGGTAAAGATAGAGGGGAACAAAACCGTGGAGAGCGCGACGCCTAAAACAGACCAGTGAAGGGCGACGCTGATGACGAGGGCGGGTATCTTGGCGGCGCGAATGACATGGAGGTGCGCTTTAGGGCTTGCCGTTGCGACCGCAGGAGGAAAGATGAATCGGAGGATGGGGAGGACGGGGAAGGGGTACATGTTCCAGGCGCCGATGACGGATTGGTGCGCGGTGCTGGGGGGGGGTTGGAGGAGAAGACTCCCATCAGAGCTGCGGGGACGAGATAGCCCAGGACGATGGCGGGGTAGGAGCAGCTGTTTGACCAGCGCCGGCGAGGAGACTATGGGAGCAAGCCGCAGTCGCTCGAGCGAGCCCACCGCGGAGACTTTGGACTTGGGGACGGTGGGTGCTGAAGTGATGTAGCTGAGCACCTAGATCCAACCAGTCACTCCTAGGGAGAAAATTTGGACAAGGGTGAGCCAGAGGGTTGGTCTTCAGAGGTTTGCATGAGGTTCTTGTTCGGTGGTTCCTTGTGGTTGATTCTAGAAATGTAAGGCTGGCTTACCGCCGAAGACTGGGTTTGCTGCTACGCTGGGCATTTGTATAGGCGATCACCAGGCAGGGGAGCAGCTGTCCCAAGAAATACAGGGCCACCGCGGTGGAGGAGGGTGGGAGCCGTCCCCGACCTCATACCAGAAGGCCACCAGAGTGGAGATGATGTGGTCAATGGGAATGCGAATTCCAGTGAAGGTCCGAGAAGCACCTGGGTAACGGAGAGCTAGCCATTGGGGTCATCCAGCACTTTGGTCAGGATTTCGGTCGACCCATCGAGGGCAGTACGCCCCCAGGTGCCCAGAACACCTACCACACCGAGGGCAATCAGGATAGACTTGGCTGGCCAAAGGGTTGACATCGTGGACGTGAAGATCACACAATGATTTATGGTGATGTTAGTCGGTCAAGCGGGGAGGTGCGGCGGCACGTTAAAAGAAGTCCAAGCTCGGTGTTGGCGAAACCGTGGACTGGTTGTGATACCTTGACGGGGGCAGGAAAAAAATAGAAAAAGGAGAAAAAACACAGAGAGGGAGACAAAGAAAAGCCTTCGTGAATGACCGCTGCATGACCCTTGCACGATTCAAAAAGTGAGGCCGTCAGCACAGCATCTCGAGGCTAGCAGGGGGTTCGCCTTGTTCAAGTACTCTGGTTCGGAGGGCGCCAAAGGCGGCAAGCACGGACCGGACCATGGCAATTCTCATACAAGATGTAATGGGTAGTAATGGAGATAGTTATAATACCGTGAGTTATATGCGGCTGACTGCGTCCTCGACCCTACCTGTAACCCCCCTACGCAAGATTGACCTTCACCCGAACGAACTTCCTCTCCTCCAGAGACATGGCCTCGCTGGTCTCGCAGTCCGGAATCGCCGTTGATCCCGATAGACCCGTGTGCGAACCCGACCCATCGCGCAGAGGCCGCCAATACGCGCTCTTCTGCTGCGGAGACGCGTTGGTCGCCGCTGTCCTGTCGTCGCGACCGAAAACATCCGTTAACAATGTCGGCACCATGGGCAGGCAGGCGCAAATAATAGCACAGTCGAATTCGACCACGTTCCACAGCGCCACCAGCATCAAGGCGTCTAAGGGGAGCACAAAGGCATTAGATGTCGATGGAAACGGCTCATACTGAGCGGCCGGGGGAGGAAGTCTTACAAGGTTCATCGTTCATATCCAGCTTAGCAACGGCGACCATGCGTATAATGCTCGCCACGCAGACGCTACAGACAGCGAGGCTCAACAAGCAGTCCACTGGCAGGAGATTCGGGTCGAAGGTTCTTCACTTACAAGGCACCCAGGAGGAAAACAAAAGAGAGTTGTCGTTTTCGGGCGTAGCTCAGATTGAGTTTCCAGACCAGCGGCTGCGGGAGGGCCAGAATCACAATGTCGAGCACCATGTTGACTACGCCGGAGGAGATCCAGAAGGGCTTGTAGGCGATGTGAGAATGGGGTATCCAGGGCTTCCACTCCCCAACGATAGGGTGCGAGGCAAAGATCAGCCCGCAGGCCATCGCAATAAACCACCCGACCACAATGGCGCCGAGAGCCCATGTGGCGATTCTGAATGCCCGGTTGATAGAAAAGATGCGACGGTAGAAAAGAAGAACGGAGAGTTTAGCCAAGGAAAGGCCAGCGATAGCCAAGATATCGGTACCGATGAACGTCTACTCTTGAATGTCAGCACAGAATAGGGGTGACCACGAAAAAGGGAGGGAAACGTGGCTAACTTGAACAAATGGCTGTACTTTAGCCAGATCTGAGTAGAACTGGATCATATGGTTACCTCCATGGCCGATGGTGACCAACAGCGCAGTGACGACCATGAAGGCATAGCCGACGACGAGTGCGGCTAGGCAGACCCAGTCATCCCATTCCAAGGTCGCCCGTCGTCGAGCCAAGAACCGCAGCAGGACGAACACTGTAGCCAGGCAGGTCATCACTACGGTCACCGCCAAGACATGGACCCCGCGGGGGGCGATCCCCTTATCCAGCGGCGGATACTCGGTTGTAGCTTGGGACGACATGATAGTACTACAAGATGACGGCAGTAGGGTGGTGGTAGTAGATCAGTGCAGGTTGCTTTCCGATGCCTGGCTTAACCATGCACATCAACAACGAGAAGCGTCAGCACGGCTGGAGCACTTTCAGGCCCTGAGACCGGTTATATATCCGATGCGTCGTTTCCCCCATGGCGTATTGGGGCTGAGACTTGGGTCAGGCCGAAGGGACCGTGCTGCTGGCTCAATTACTGAATTTCTGCACCTCTCTGCAGGGCTGTAGACCTACCCTCCTGGTAACACATAGTCCAAATTGACGAGTTGAGTGGTGATGGGCAGAGGTATGTGTTTCATCCTATGAGAGAGCAGGAAGGTGCATTCCATCATGCATGTCAGCACCGCTCTTGGTTTTGAGCGTCGCCGACGAGATTTGCCACTCGATGTATGGACCCTCACCCCTCAACCCTTGCCTCTGCTAGTATGGCTCTGCTTCCTGCCCACCAAGTATCTGCGGTGGGGCTGGCGGAAGGGAAAACAAGATTTTGTCTTATCCCTACCTTACGAGGTTGCTAGTATGCTCTCTCCTCTGTGTGTACTCTAAGAATAGACCACGTAATACCTGATCCTCGGCTGCACCTGCATGTCAGATTCGCGAATCTAGTCTCGGATCATGCATTTGAGAAGTTTCAGTCTCAGTGATCATGAGCCGCCGTGTCCTCCAGTTCGTAAAGCTGAATAAGCCCAACCCGTACGGAGACAGAACCGCAAACAAGCAATTCATCGTCACTGTAATAATTCCGTGTCAGAGCAGAGCGCGGATCTCAACAACGGTCGTCTGTGAAACATCTCTGTTATTTCCTCCGGACTCCTTCGCGGGACACTGGATGGTGGAAAGTGGCCAGTGTAAGTGCTTCAGATAGGGGAAGAGAAGTGCTCAGAGACCTGAATATCGTGACTATCCCTATAGCCCCTGAGAACCCACTTCAACGTGACCTTGTCACGTGCCGACTGAAAAACACTAAGAAGAGAGGTAAGGAGAGTCCTAATTCTATATTAAGATACCTAGTATTTGTTAAAATAGACATGTACAAAGTTACGGACGGCAGAAACTACTGGAATAGTTAAACAGTCTGACGACGTTACTTCACCCAGATATATATCTCGGATACCGTGCGTGCTGCATTGGTTGGCTGCCCACAATAACAACTCGTGTGCAAACACACCATGGCATCTAGAGTATCCACTCAATAGGCATAGTATTAGCGAGTCGATTAGATTGAGTCGCCGAGCAGAGTATAAGAAAGGGCTCAGCACCCCCATGAGTTGCGCGGCCTTCGGAGACCTCGCTCCTGATATAAAGCCTACGTTTGACTGAGTGTAAAGCTGACAACATTCAGCAGCTAGATTGGAAACATCCATGCACGTCACATTCACTATGTTATCCCTCAGTGATATGGTTTTTCAAGCTTCCCGGTTTCGATGAAGAAGAATTAAGTCTCGTCTTCTCCA